CAGCCCAATCAAGAAGTGCAATGATCAGGCCTCGCCATAGAGATCCCGCCTTGATGATCGCGGCATACTCCCAGCCAGGTAAGTTTAATGGTAATCCATTGCGATGAGGCTACCAATTGATGCGCCGCATGTCATATGGGTTGTCGTCACAGTGTCTGAAATCATGTTTGACCTCCTTCTGTGGAAGACCAATAAGAGCGTTGTTTGATGAGTGTCTCATTAGTAAAAATAAATAATAAAAAAAAGATTTAATGTAAAATATGTAAATAAATCTAAAAATGGACTAGAAGAACATATATTACAAAGTTTGAAACACCGGGAAAACAAAGTTATTATGCTAAACAAGGTCTATTGTTTGTACAAAATATCCAGACATTAATCTAACAGAACTTATTTTATAAATAGAATTTCATGAACCTGAATCCATATTATGGATATTGATTGTCTTAGATTCAGTTGAATAAAAGAGTTTTTAGAGAAGAATTTGTTAATGAATGAACTTCTGAAATTGTGACTTGACGATCTATCATCCATAAGTCATTTGAGGCAAGAGGTTATTGAGTTTGCATTTCCTTTCTGATGTCTGATCCTCTCATTGGTGGTGGACGGTTCCGAAGAAGACCTAACTCACATATGCATCTGAAACTAACTGTCAAGAACAATTCTCATCAATCTAAAGACCTATATTGATCTGGAATTTCCAAAAGCGATTGAACGGCAAGTTTGAGTTCGCCGTCTTCCAGTCCTGCGGTCTTTTTCATAATCTGCAAACATCATATGAGAACATGTAGGTCTGAAGTCAGCTTACATCATGATACTCAACGAAGTGGAAATTATCCCACGATCTCTTTGGCAGGGACTCATCAAAAACCTGAAAGAAATAAAGTAAGGCGTTAATGATGAAGTCAACGTACTCTCATCATATCCCAAGGTCCATCACCTACTCCAACAACAATGATGGAAAGTGGGTATTGACAGGCTTGAACAATAGCTCTACGAGTTGCTCTCTCGTTGGTGACTTGACCATCAGCAATAATTACAAGAATATGATACTGAAATCGAACAGGTTACATTTCTATTTCATTCCAACAGGCAGTACATCATTGGCTTTCTGACAAATCTCCATTGCTTGGTAGATCAATGGAGCAAAGTTTGTGGGTCCACTGAGCTCCACACTGGGTGTAATCTCATTGTAAACTCTAAATAATTAAAAGTATTCAACTGTGAGGAGTTCAAAAGCTAAAGCAATTACTTCAAAACTTCCTCGAGTGATGTACAATCTCCTTTAGGTTTCAGTGAGAAAGTACTCCAATCCCCGGTTTTAGCATCACCAAAACCGAATAATGGAATACGCCCTGTACTAGCAAAGGGAGCTAAAGTGTTACCAAGAATGGTGATAACCTAGAAGGACAGATACAAAACACGTTGATTCAGATTGCCTCTTACTTGTTGATATGGGTTTTTGATATTTGGGTGGATTGTATGCAGTGAACGTCCACCGAAAGATTCTTCTCCTTGATACTTGTTTGATGCTGTGTAATCGATACCTAAAGAGGTGAAGTTGAATATTGATAGTAAAACTGATTGAACATACCGAAAATGAGGTTAGTAGATTCTAATCCAGCCTTACGCATAGCATCAGAAAGAGCATCTAGGCTGGTGATTGTTAAGAGCATCTCTTGCATTGATGTTACGCCCAAAACAGATAACAACGAAGACTGTTTCCTCAGCTTCAAAGAGAAAAAAAGTAAGAAAACAAGAACACGAAATTACCCGTGGATATCCATCACTACTCATACCACTATGACTGCGACCACTACGTCCAGAAGCTAATGAACTGTTACTGGGTGTCTTTCTATTTGCAAAAGCTGACAATATCTGAGGAGCTTGAGGAACAGCGTTTTGCTGAATAACTTGATGAGCACTCTGCAGAGGCTTCATAATTTCCGGTGGGATACCTGAAATTGGAAGATACAACTTGAAACATCTATTATGGATGCTCACCTCCTTCGGCAGCCACGCGATCAAAATATTCTTGAAGATTATCACTGTTCTCGCTCATTTGGTCAGGAGGAATCTCAACCGATTGAATTTCAGGAGCATATGTCATATCGTCATGTTCATCTTGTTCAACACGTTCGAACACCTCAAAAAGAACACACTGAGCTGGATGATAGCACTAGACCCACCTCCATAGTTTTCACCATCTGACTAGTTGGATCTCCACTTGTAGGTTTCATCTGCAGGTTCAAACTGATTCTCTTACTATCATGAGGACTACTGAGCATATCTTCTTCCATAACAAATCCAGAGGCAGCATTTGGAACCTGAAGCAGGAAGATGTGATCTAGAGGTAGGCACGGTGACATACGTTCTGATTTCCGAGATATTCCAAAGCATCTTGAATATACATTTCAGCAGCGACGATGTTTCTTGTGTCATCCTGTGGAATCTCATTTGTTCCCTTAACATGAACATATAACTGTTATGCTTCTCTCCATTCTCTCACATCTAATCGAATACGGATTGTTGTTCCTTGATCATTCAATTTCTCTGAAGGAATGACAGCAGAAGTAAACCTTGGCTGCGGTACAGGTCGATCTCCAATCACACCGAAAGGAGACGCTTGCTGTAAAAGAAAGATGTGTGTTAGGAAAATCTTGGTTACTCACCACTTCCTGCACATAGGCTTGTGCAGCCTCGGCTGAAGTTGATGGTTCCAGCCTTTCATTAGAACTTTGCTTCGTTGTTGGCATCCCCAAATCCATTCCGAAATCATATTCGCGACAGAGCTCCTGACGTTGCGATCACTTTTTGAAACAATATTTTCAAACTTACTTGAAGCTGTCTAGCTTCCTCATTAGACATTACTTTCTCATTGCCTGGTGGAACATCATAGATAGGCTCCATTTGTACCTAAAGATGAAACAATTGAAAGCACCCAATGATACATCTAACGAACCTTCACGTATTCATCACTGTCTCCAGTCTCATGACGTTGTTCTTTTTGAATAGAGCCTGCTTGAACGAATTGGACATCTTCCGTTGGAGACGCAGCATGGTCATAATGAGGCTGAAAAAATTCTTATAAGATTAGAAAATGAAAAAAAAAACTACCTCGTGGACGTGGAAATCGCTGATGTCATAGTCAGTCAACTCAGAATCGCGATAGCTGAAACAATGAGGATGGTAACACAATGAAGAACCCTAAACACCTGTCTCTGTTAGGAGCGCTATCAGCTTGTCCAGCGAGCAAATTAATTTTCTGTTGTAATTTATCGCCGAATCTGGCATTCTCCAGTTGTTGCTGTTGTTGTTGAAGCAGAAGATTCTGCTGAGCGAGCGTTTCTCTTTTTTCTCTGGAGGCATGGTATATACGAAAAATGAAACATGAGCTTACCTCAACAAATCCTCATCTGGAGATCTACTATGATATGAGATGTGAGAAGCAGGAAGAAGACGATCAATAGCTTGTTCCGAGTTATCAAACTCAGATTCTTCTCCTCCTACCTATAAACAGATAGGTGTTTTCAGAAAAAGGTAAATTCTCTTACGACACGGTCCTGGTTAAGATTGGCAATTCTCTCATTCTCCAGTCGCTCTCTCTCCATTTCCCACTCATAGATTGCTTGTTGTTGCCTGAAGTTTCGCACAATATAGGAGTCCCGAAGATATTATTTACTCTGAGCTCAGTTTCTTCTCGGGTTTTGACTGAGGAGAGAACTGTTGTGGTTGACGATCCTGTTGAGCTTGTTGTTCGAGATTCATGAACTGTTCATCCTATAATATTTCATTTATCCGATATGTGAAGAAAGAGAAATAAATCAAATATTTTGAACTCACGAGTGGACTCAGCGCTGGAAGAGGTTGTTGATAATGGGTAGCTGGTTCAGCTGGTCTTTCCTAGAAAATGGATTTAAGAGAGGTTTAAGAACCTTCACCTAACATTTATCAAAGAATCGAAAGCATCATCGATAATCTGAGCTTGACCTTGAGCAGCTTGATGAACTTGACTTGGAGCATTACCAAGAGTTTGTTCAAATTGTCTCTGAAAAAAAAACGGTACACGAGTGTATTGAATGAAAATAGCTTTGAAGGAAACAAACTGACCGGAGCACTTGGTTGGGTATCTTCTAGTGTATCCGGTAAGTATTGGAAGGGCCTTGGACTCGCTTCCTTTTTGGGGGACTCTGAAGAAAAAGAGTAGAAACTACACCGATGAGAGATTTTATACCTCGAAGATATTCTTCAGCTTCTCGAATCAATTGCTCAGCTGAGCTAGGAGGTTCATAAAGATTATTATATGTCGTTTGGGATAAATTTTGTTGTTCGTTTCGTTCGATGCGCCTCTGCTGTTGAGCGTTTAAAATCTGATATTTCTGTTGGAAGTCTGGCTGATCTTGTTGTTCTACCAGAATCTGCAAAGAGGATGAGTTGAAAGACAACGAATGTGTGACTTGTCAACCTTTTCAAGCTTCTGCCCAACTTCTTGTAAGAGTTCTCCTGTGACCGGAGCTTCCTCTTCCTGTAAGGAAGTGTTTGATAAACGATAATCAGTTGAAACTCACATCCTTCTTATTTCCTTTGTTTTTGTTCTCCTCAACTAATTTGAAGAAGACATAAGCGAAGCCGACGGCCATAGCTGACAGGAAAAATCGGGTGAAGAAGGAAAATACAAGGAAATGTTCCGGTTCCGGACATTCCTCCCACTCCTCCGGATCATAGCCAAGTGAGGCGTCGTACACCATGTTTGGCTCCGACCTGAAACAGTAATGAAACGATAAGTTTGACATCAGAAGAGACAGTAGAAGACACAAGAAGATTGATGGAAGAGTGAGAAGTTGAAGAGTGACCGATGTATAAAGAAAACTTTGAGTTGTTGAACAAGGAGTAACTCCTCTTGTTTTGAAGATAATCGAAAGGAAATCAATGAGATCGCTAAGCGTCAACTGTCTTTACTGGAAAAACAGAAAGAAATTTTCGAAAGGTAAAAATGAAAAGTTTATACAAATAAATAAAAAATAAATAAATAAACGACGCTTATCCCAGCCGACGAAAAGCAAACTCACTCGGAAGTGTCAGAAGAAGACTTGGAGAGATTCAAAACAAAACTTGCATGCAAAACTGTTCTCTTGTTGTTTGAGAAAAAAACACGTGAAAAAGAAGAAGAGAAGAAGTGAAAAAAACGCGCCAATTTGTTTTGAACGGAAGAAAGAGTTCAAGAATAAGCTGGATCTGATCAATATTAAGGAAGAAACATGTGTGCTGGAAACCTGATGATCAGTTGAAGCAGTCAGGTCATAGAAGAAGTTGTGTAAAGTGCCTCAGTACACTAAAATACATAAAATATGAAATGACAATTACCATTTACTGATTAATTTTCAATGCACATAGTTCAACCTAGTGGTGAGCCTTACACTACCATTGACACACGCTCAGCCGATAATTGACAGGAGCTCTCCTGTTATCGATCGATCAGAATTTCAAACTTAGTCTTAGCTGTTCCACACAAGTCTGACAAAAAACCATTGCAAAAAGCTCTTTTTTTTCAGTTTCAGATCTCTCGACATCTCTTGCAAACACCGAACTTACAGAGGTTAGTAAGACTGCTACACAGCTTTTTATATTTACTTTTAAACTTCCTCTCTTGCCATCCATCCTCATCCATCCCTTCAAATCGACAAGTCAACCTTTTGGAAGTTTTTTTGGCATCCAAAACATTGCGAAAGATGATGGGTAAGGTTTAATTACTTCTTATGTTTAGTTAACCTAAAACAGATCTGTTTATATGAAGGATGGATGCCCTCACCCAACCAGCTGTTTCATCATATAATATACGAACTGACCTTTGCTTTCAATCCAAATTACGAAAAAACCAAAGTCTTTTCCAACTTTCTCTCGAAATCTCCTTTCATATTATTTATTTGATTACAGTTTTTCTCAGAGATTTCGTGAACACAATGACATATCATAAGTTGGATGTTGACAATGCTCTTATTCCACTTATTTCAAAAATCACAGAGTGAGATTCAGGTTGTCTACGATCAAGCTGTTTTCCATTTCACTAAGCGCGACAATTTGAGAAGAAAAAACATTTAAGAACTCAGAATGCAGCAGATGCCTGGGCAAGCCACAGCTACAGCATATCATAAAGACTTGGGAAATGTGGTGGAATGGAGAAAAAATGATAATTGAAGACGAATGTGAAAAGAATGAGGAAGAAGATGACTTCTCAGTGTGAGAATCAAAGAAATGAAGGTTAATTATCAGAACATTCACAAAATAAAACTTTCTCTTGGAGTGAAGCAGTATAATGGGGTAAGTGAAGAAGACAGAGACTAATGAGAGCAGAACTAGATACATCAAAGTGTTAGGTGGTTAAACTTTAGGAGATACAGAGATGTAGAGGAGATGAGGGAAATATTTGATTGTGATGAAGGCACAACAAAGAGAATTCAGAGAGAAGAAAAGCCGGAGAATGTCAAGTAATCCGGAGAGCCATGGCACGGAGCAACTGACACTTTCATATCTTTAACTTCGTTCTTCCTCAACCCACCACTGTGATTCAATTCCCTACTTAACACAGACGTTAGATGAGAGTAACGAGCATTAATTGAAAGATTAAAACGTTCTATCACCTTGCATCATCAATTCCAGCTCTGCCGTTGTTTTGCACGGAAGTTATTTTTTGCGCCAATCCACGTCGTTTTCACGTAAATCCCACGTTTCTCATTTTATGCGGGGGACAGCAGAAGAGCGGCTGTCTTACTGATCTCTGCGAGACGCTTCAGAATGGTTGTTTGAAAAAAAACTCTTTTCGGGTTTTTTTTTCGTTTCAAGCGGATTTCACTAAAACGACGTAATCTGCACATGTTTTTTGAACGGATACCCCAGCAGGTGTGTTAAGATAATAGAATATAACTTCTCTGGCGTAAAACAAAACAAAAAAATAAATCTTTTATTTCAAGTAGGACTCAAAATGTTGCACAAATGTGAGGAATGAATATGAACAGAGACCAACTACAGAGAAGACTACAAGAAAAAAACTTAAAAATTTAAAAACTTCAATTTACATGCACAAATCAGTTATTAGCAATTATATTGAAATACTTATTTGTATCATCAAGTATACCATATCTCAGCTTTGAGCTGAAAATATTAATATGAAAGTCACATGTATAGACATACCAACTAAGAACGAGTTAAGGTAATTTGTATATGAAAGCATAAGAAACCCTATGTAAATGAGAGATGAGGCAAACGTAACCCATGAGTTTGTGAAAATAGTTTTTAAATACAGTTGATATTCAGAAATGACTTGAACAGGGATACTACATCAATATCGTCCGGGAATGTTGCTGATTACTCCGAATGGCGTCTTTCTGAAATATACAAAACTATAATTGTTGATTTGAATGTATGAATGAGAGATAATTATGAGTTTGGTCCTTCAGACAATTTTCCCAACTCTTATGCGGCGGTAATTACGTAACTAGAAAAGGCTTGCCTTCCATCATTTCTTTCAATACCTGACAAGATGGTAACAAATGAGCTGCCGGACAGACCATGCATCGAAAGAACCCCGCTGTGTCTAATGACCTTCCTCTGTTAAGCATTTTTGTGTGCTGAGATGGATGCCGACTGCATGAATTATTAGTCTTTTAAGAAACTGTATAGAGAATCCAAACAATCAATCGCTTAACGACCGTGAATTTTTCGTTACGGTTAGCTCTCAGACAGTCACTCATCATTTCATAGACAACAGTAACAGAAGACGCATCATTATAAATGAAATGTTGAAGGCTGGACAGAGGAAGGAGTCATTAGTCATGTCATTCTGACATTAAAACGGTATTAGAATAACTAATTAATATTCGCGCAGTTTGAATAGATAAGAAGTTGAATAAGGAAAACGATGGAAAGTGAAAGTTGAGAGAAGAGAGGGAGCAGAGAAAACAGAGAAACAAATCTTAAAGTCTACAGAGAGAGAGAGCAACAGAGAAGGCTCTTGAAGAGATGTACCATTTGCCATTTGAAGAACAGGCATTGTGTCTGTTCTGCCGCGCATTACGCAAGACTGCTTGCGCAATAAGTATACATCTGCGGTAACTATGCGTTTTGTAAAGAATAAAATAAATAAAATATAATAAAGCGAAAGAGAGTAGCGGCAGATATGTTATTAGAACCCACAGCGTTTAATGAAATAAAAAATAAAACTCACGGTATCGCATTCTCGGTCTTCTTCACAACTTGGAAAGGAGAAGACTGTTTATGATCCAATGAACTTGTCACATTTACTTTATTGGAATTGCCCAATATGTTCGAGACGCTATGTTTTGTTAACGTAGGTGATGGTTGAGCCGATTGCACTTTGTGAGCAAAGAGCGAAGAAGCTACCAAACTGGACCATAAAGGCTGCAAAAATGATAACATAAAAACCTTGTTTTACAAATGACTTCATACCGAATTAGGTAGTACGATAGACTGGAGGCCTGCTAATGATAAAGGATTCAGGGGGAAGTCGTTTTGGACTTTCATAGGTGCGCGTTTCGATGTCATGGGAGAATTCATTGGCGGCACATTGTAAGAAGGCCCATTATTCCTTTGTGGTTCTGGCTTTGGTATCAAACGATTCTGTTTCGGTTTCGAAGTAGGCGTTAATGGGATTGAAATTGTGGCCAAAGGTGATCTAGTTGATGTGGGAACTTGAGTAGCATACTCTTTTTCTTGTCTTAACCGCTCTGCTGCTAACTCAGCGAACATCATTAGACTAGAGGCTGCTCCTGCAAGCTGCTCAGACCTGTAAATAAACAACGTAACTAAATCCCTAAGAACTGTATATACTTCATTCTGGGCATCTTTTTTTGTATCCCTTCCATAGTTCCAACAAGGTCAGCGTCTGAGTGACTACGCTTTCCAGCTGTCAAAGATTGGACCATCGCAGCTGTAGTAGCCTGAAAAAAATAATAATTAGGACTTAAAAGCAGAGAATCACATTTTTTTTCTTGAGAAATGTAAGAAACCTGTAACGAACCTTCATTTGCGGGGTCTGGGGAGCAGATGCGGAAGAAGTAAGCATCTTCTCCAAACATGCGTTGGCATCATAAGTACCATTCTCATCTGGCTCTGGGCCACAATAGACGAAGAGCGGGATTTTCTTGGTACCAAATAAATAATGAACCTTCTTGATGAGCCCAAGAGCAACAAGTACATTAGCTATATCATAAAGCCGTCGGCATCTACCTAAAAGAAACAGATGGTTAATACTCTATCTTGACACTACTAAGCGTACTTCTACTGGGAGGTTCAAAACCTTCAGTTTCCGGGTCTTTAATAAGTACTGTACTAGCTACATCAAGACTGACTCGTCGGGTGTCTTTCTACAAAAAAGAAGAATGTCTTTCTTTCATTAAAAGATTAAAGCTTACAGGATTGCTAAGAAGCACCATTAAAAATCTCCTACATAGTTGAGCCAGAGAGTTCCTACCCTGTCTGTCTCTTCCATCTACTCGTGGTCGTTGGGGTCGGAAATTTTCCAAGCCAAAGCTTTGAGAACCAGATAGATTTCCGTTGTCTTGTAGTGACCCTAAAAACTCAGTTCAGTATAACTGTCAATAGACATGAGACTTACCAACGGAATCTTTTCCGGGTTTGCGACTAGGTGAGAGCTCAGTGAAAGAACACATGGCTTGCTCAACTTGCATTACTCGTTCAGGTAAATGTTCGGCAACTGCTTCAGTCTGAATATTTTCGAAGTATGTCAGACTGTCATCAATATATCTCTAACCTGAAGTTCTGCCATCAGTTTTGGTAAGTTATCCAGGCCCTGCCAACGATAAAAAGATTTATTAGTTTTGCTCATAGCATCCAGTGCTTCCATTACATTCACAATATCGTAGATACGACGTTTTTCAACATCTGAAGATAAATGAGGATGTTTTCATCAGAATTGGCGGCACTTATTTGTCAACTTACTCATTTTCCTAGCCACAGATTCCAAATGAACTTCTTTCTTAATTGAATCACGAGTCTCCTCATTCATGGCAATTAAAAATCTTAAATAGTGACTGTTTTCCAATTTCGAAGATTAATGGTGGGTACCGTTGGCATAAAAGACCTAAACTTTTATCTTTTCGCGATCCACCTTCACCATCTTCACAATCGTCCATTTCATCACTTGATTCACGACGTAATGGGTTAGATACGCTAGGCGACGAGGCCGAAGCTGAAACATTTAAAACATGTTGAAAATTATAATTTTTATAGTGTTCGGGATTGTTGGCGTAGATTGGTGGGGTGTCAATGCGATAAGGATGCATACCATTTCCGTACAGAACTTAATCAGTTGACCCATACAATATTTTTTGACATTTTTATAGTCGTAATCAGATTATGAATCCTTAGTTTATTTACTAAGACAGCCACGAAGACTGGGCCATTCATCATGACTTTATCTCCCGCCATATTTTCTTAAGAGCTACGCTGGGCGCCAAGTGTTATCATTTCTGTATCGAGAATTTGAATGAACCAGAACGACGAAATTGGCGGACAAAATGTCAATGGGCAAAAACCTCAATTGTCTCCTAAGTTTCAACAATTTTCAGTTTTGGATTGAATGGCAAATTGAATTATTGAAAGTGAAGCTACTCACCGGCGCTAACGGCAGAAGCATTCGAAAGTTGAGAGAGTGTCGGAGAATTTAACACAGGATCTGAAGCTACCGTAACCACGTCGATGTCGTCAATTGAATCCCTATTTGGCGGTAAAACGACAGACATCTTCTCGTAGTTGACTAGATGGGGAAAAGGTATATTCTCCTTATTATCCTCGCTGGTATCCAAAAAAGACCCGTAAGATGTCATCCTGTAAGCAAATGTTAAATATATCTGACTGTGGTTTTACAACAACAAGAGAAAAGGTTAAGAACAATCTTGGCAATTCGCTAGCACTGACTCATTACTACAATGGGAACATTGCGTAATTCGGTCACGCACAACTACTTTTCAAAAATTGGTAAGGTAAATCACACACGCACCATATAGAACCATCGTTCGAATGGACTATAAATTATAAATATTGCAAATATTTCAATAGATTGCTAGACTTAAGATAATTCGAAAATCTAACGAGAACTGAGAAGGTTTGAGAACGAGGATAGTTGGATACGAAAGACCTTGAAAACAAATTAGAGATTTGAATAAACGATAGGCAAATTCCGCGTGCAAAAGATGAGTGCGGGAAGACCAATTTTAAACCTTGTAAGGCTGTTCATTAAGCTTATTGCTTATTTAGATAGAACGATAACTTTAAAAGATAAACGAAGGAGAGTTAAATGAAGAAGAGTAAATCGCAGTCGCGAGTAAAAGAGAAGAATATCCCACCAAACATTCAAATGCTTGCATGAGAAGCTGGCAGTTCTGAAATTGGAATAACCTCCCAATGGCAGGTGAGATCCTAACCAGAAGCAAGTTCAGCAGGAACGCTTTAAAGCCAATGGCAAACGCGTCGTTGTGTAGCTTTAGGTTATGCAGATCTCAGTACCCTAGCAATACAAGAACATCTGTGGGAGCTAAGGCGCGGTATACCATTGCGCGCGCGTCCCATAGGCGGAGCCACGCCGACCTTTCCCGCCAAAAATAATGCATATCGAGCCAATAAAGACAGACCAAGACATAAAAAATCAGGAAAATAAAAACTAACATGTCAGCTTACAGCTGCAACCACAATCGCGAGACTTATAAATGAAGTTGTGCTTTGAAGTTCCCACGTGAGACACGTGAAATCCGTGAAAAACGTGACAAAAGCTTCACGTCAAATCTCACGCTAATTTTAGCGTCATTTTTTAAACTAACTTAGCTTCAACCGGTTACTAATACACGAAACATTAACCGTTACGCAGAGCCAGCACCTACCCATGTGTCAAAACTTATGTCATGGGCAAACAACTACTCATAACTTGTCGGTCATGAGGTGGGGATGCCACAGGTATTCTTACAACTATGCAGGAGATTAGCACACGCTCACAACCATTGCAGGAACTTATCAATAGAGAAAGTACTCACCTCTTGATTTCCGATCCTTATTGTAGACAAACCGGTAAAGAAAAGAAACCCTCCGCCTTCTATTACATTCCTTTCCCTTTCTTCCGAACTAATTTTCTTCAAATCCGTTCCGGTGTGTATCAAAAACTCAGCCACCCAATTGAGTAAAAGTATTTTCAGCTTGATCGTCAATCTTTATATCCGACTAAGCCAATATTCGGACGAAGTAAGAAGCAAAAAAATGTCCAAACTGAAAAGCCTCAGCCTCATTGGAACGACTGGTTGTATTCCTACTGCTTTATCACTCTCTAATCAGGAAAACAGTGAAAGGTTCGGTGTTCTGAATAGGCTGGTCAAAACACCGGGAAAATAAGCACTAGGACCAACTTTTCAATCGAAACTTTCAGTTTCTTCTTTGAACGAACTTAAGGCCAAGTTCTCACATCTTGTTCACATTTGAAATTCACTTCACTTTCCTTTCACGATCAGATTTGACAGTTAATCTATAACCCTTTTCAAAACTATTCGTGCGAACAACCTAACCTACAACGAGATAAAGCATTAGGAATGTTCGTAGAACTTGGATCATCACAACACAAGATGCCAAATACAAAAGTGAGTAATGAGTGACAGATCACTTGGATAATTTGCATACAATCCTAGGCAAATATCCAAAGCGAGCAGGTGCATCTCCAATTTTAATGACCCACATATGATAAACGTCAAGTTTAACATTCAAATAAGTAAAAAAACGAGCAAACGCTCAGCAGACGTCAGTCTAACCCAAAGAACAGAAAAAATAATGTGTGAAAAACGGTTTACTTTAACAAATAACAATTCCAGAATCAGTTAGCAGCGGCAGTTCTTGGCTTGGGAGTAGTACCCTCACGGAAACCGTTTCTGAAAAAGTCAAGATGAGTTCAAGTTCAACAATGAGCAATAGCGGTAAAAAGTTGTCATGAAAGTCATGACAGAACCACTAGTGGAAAAGCTTACCTGAATCTTCGCTGGACTTGCTTCATGTGACGCATACGTCCAGTTCCAGTGGTGCGTCTACGAATAGACTTGGCTCCCCAGTTGTAAGTTCTCTTCTTAGCGTCAGGGAATCCACAAGATGCGCATCTTTTCTTCTGGATGTGGAAGGAAGATCTTCCGCATCTCTTGCACAGAGTGTGAGACTTTACGTGCTTCTTACCGAAGGCCTGTGTACCCTTAGTCATCTATAATGAGGTAAAGTAAGTTAAACAATATAGGAAGATGTAACAAGCAAAATCAAAGAAACGGGAAGAAGAAACATGAAATGCATCAATGGAGTTTGCAAACGCACAATATGGTTAGAATTCTCATTAATTTTTAATTTTACATAACACCATCAACAGAGAACCCATTTATCAACTAAGAAACGAAAATTAAAAATAACAAAAACCTTTAAAATCCAAAACAATTTAGGTAAACCTCAAAAAGAATTAAAAATATAAAAATTTTCCATTCAGAAAGGGGAAAATACTGTAATAGCGTAGAGCGTGATGGGATTTTTAGGCATAAAACTTTCCGCCCTTTAATTTCGCATTGGAGCGGGGTATCTCTCAGTAAGTTTAAAATGCTACAATCTCTTGTACACTTATCACTTTTTCAACTTCTATCATTATGATGGAGAGAAATAGAATGGAGAGTGGAGTTTCATATAATATCATGAATAGGAATATGGAAAATTGTGTTTTTTTCGGATTTATTACCCGTGCAATACATTATTCTCAAAGGATACTAGTACACTTCCCAGCACCCCGAACACTGTTAGTTTTATGAAAGAGAGCCGAAAATATTCCTTGTATGGAAAAATTTAGTTGGACTTTAGTTGCAAATGATGGAATTGTTTAATCAGATGGGTCCAATTCGTTGATTCCCATTTAGCTTTTCTGACACATTTGAAAATGCGCTTTATACTGTTGTTTCTGCCATTATTAATAGGAAAAGGTTCGTGAAATTATCAAAAACTCCTTCAACTCCCTTCCAAACCTTTTCCAGTGTTTTGTTGCAAAGATGGAACTCATTGTAATCAGTTGTTCAATGTTCGGTTTCCCCAAATATCGAAAAGCTCGAAATGTAATTTGCGGGTTGTCATGTTAGCTCCCGACCTTTTCCCGGTACTCTTTCTTTCAAGTATAAGAAGCTAGCTGAGACTTTCAGAAAGAGTTGTTGAAACCCACTAGTGAACGTATTTTCACAAATGTTGAATGTCCGAGAACTTGTGGTTGCCCCAAACCAGTGGTAGTTGTAAAGCCTGAGACCAAATTACAAGAAATTTATAAAAACAATACAGATTTCAAACAGCTTATAACGAACTTAGGAAACGAAGGTCTCTTATAACTCAGTAAGACTATATCTATTCAATCTTTCAGGAATAAATGTCTCCACAGATGGAGCTCTAGAACGATATGATATATTCGTGAAAAACAAGGCAACAGTTGATGCGCATAACAAAAACTTCACCAAGAAACTCACATCATATAAAATGGCCTTAAACGCATATAGTGTCATGGTTGAAAAATAAATCCAGCAAAAGCCTATAACATTCAACACTTTTGTAGAAGCCCGATGAAATCCCTCCTAATAATCTAGAGATCGACATAGCACCTACAACTCTAACCAAAGAACAAATTGAGTCTGCCAAAAGCCTTAGGAGTAAAAGGAGTATCAACTCCATCAATTGGATGCCTCGAATGCGTCGAATTTTAGATCAAGTTAGTTGAACTGTACGCATCTTCACACTGATTTTCTTTTTTAGAAAACCTGTGGAGGGTGTTGGGCTTTTGCCATGAATGCCGCAGTAGAAGGATTCCTAAACATATCAAGTGAGTACGATCGTATATACAAAAAGTATTTATGGTTTAGATTTGACTTTGGACGATTCGCTTTCGGTACAGCAACTACTTGACTGTGATAGGAAAACGAATTCAGATTTCAAACTTAATAACAAAGGTTGTGGGGGCGGTTACTTCCAGGTAAATATAGTACAAAAAGTTAGGTTAACATGAGATTTAGATTGCTGCTTCTTACTTGAGAACTACGGGTGTTGTGGGATATGATGACTACCCATTCACTTTATCAGTACGCAAATAATGCATTTCTTATAAAATCAAACACTTAGAGTAGTGGAATGTGCCGTACGAACTTATTGCCTGTGGCTCCTAGGATAAAAAAGTTCGACAGTGGCTTCGTTGTTACCAACTCGAGCGAACAAGTGGAAGCTCTCAATAAAGTCATAAGAAATCTCAATATTCAAAAATGAGCTTTTAATTTCAGATGATGGAAGCACGCTTGTCAAAGGGTCCGGTCGCTATTGGGATGGCTGTGGTTGATGAAGTATACAAGTATTCGGAAGGTACATGAAACTAATGCATAATCATAACTGACATATCATTTTGTTCAGGAATATACGAAGGTCCCTGCGGAACTTCAATCAACCATGCGGTTGTTTTAGTTGGATACACAGATGAATATTGGATAATTCGCAATAGGTTGATCCTAGTATTCAACACAATCATCCATGAACTTTCAGCTGGGGGCTAAACTGGGGTGAAAATGGATATATTAGAATAAAGAGAGAGCGTTCAACAGATCCATGTCAACTAACTAGGTATTGGAGTCAACCCATTGAGATAGGAACATGGACCGATCCAGTAGTTGTGCCGGGGGGAGTTTATATAGCAGATGAACCAAGCACGGACAATAGTACACAAAATAAAGTTGACTGTGATGGCTGTGAAAAATGTGACGACTGTGAGGATGATGATGATGATGATGATGACGAAATAGATGAATATTATGCAAATGAGTACGCTATCCACCAGAAAAACTGTAACACTAATAGTATTTAAGGTTTTATGGTGAAGGGACAAAAACATCTACAAAGTCAACATCAACATCAACATCAACATCAACTTCAACATCAACATCAACTTCTACATCAGCATCAACTTCAACATCTAGGCCAACTACAAGAGCAACTACGAGAGCAACCACACGGGCAATTACAAAAGCAGCTATTACAGCAGCGACAACAAGAAGAACAACAGAGAAAACTTTGAAAGTTATAGAAAAGGCTACCGGACTCCTAGAACAACTGAAGAAATCTGCGGGAAAGAATAAATATCGTAGATTCTAAATGTCTCACAAGATAATTGATAATAAACCTTCGATTTTGTTCTCGTAGGATATAATTAGCATGTCCTACCGGATGACTTCATTATTGCACATACATTCGCAGAGAGCGGTTGCATTCAATTCAAATTTCCCTCCCAAAAAAGAGATTACTATTTGAATTACTTCAATGAAGGATAATAAACCAAGAAAAGAATAATTTTAAAACTCGTCTTTTTCGAAAATTTAGCAGAAATTCTCATGCACTGGACGTTTCTATTACGAGCTATCACGTATAATTGTTCATTAAAATTCCCCCTTCAAACATGAACCTCCATCTACAGCACTTGTTGGCTAGTGAATGTTATCTCTTGAATATGTCATTGCTCTAATGTTGTTCAGGATGTTAAAAATATTTTCTTTAAGAGATGGACAAGGTTCCACCAGGTTACTGGAAAACATTATTAGAATTATCAACTTCTGTTGCCGATACTGCGGAACATCCGGAGAACAGCACTCCTTCTACGAGTGGAGTAACAGCACCAGTAGATCAGAATGTAAGTCTACTTCAAGAGTATGAATCTCAATAATCTACAGAACCAAGCATGGCTAGAAGAAGTTATGGCAGATCTGGTGAAGAAAACAGATCCTTCTAAGCAACTAAGTAAGTTCTTCCTCGATTAGTTGATATATGTATTCTTCGTAGGCATTTGCCTAGACACACTGGAAACTTTTCAAAAAATTCAGAACGTCACAGATGAGGTTGTAGATAGGATTGAGGTATGTGGTTTTGGTTCGTTGGAGTTTACCGTATTGTTGTTAAGGAAGTGGCGAATGCTCTGATAGATCTACTATCTTTCGCTGATTTGACTCGTCAATTTGCTGATGAGAAAGGATTTGAGTTGGTTACTCATTTCATGGTAGAGTTTTACACTCATTTATTCCGATATTTCATCCTTTACAGAAGCCATCATATCCTGAAAAAGTCCAAATCTTATTCGGTGATGCTATTCTTACATTGGCTGATAACAATCCACTAGCGCAAGAGGTTCGTTAAGTGTGATTCTGGTTAACCTCCTCATCTGTTCAGGCTATCTCTAATTTTGGTTTACTCGAAGCAGTGATGGAAGCTGTACTTGAAACTTCTAGGGATAAAGTAAGATACTGTATCTAGATTGCATACATTCCTAACTACATAGGCTGTTCGTCTTAAACTGCTCGGAATTATTTGTGCTTCTGTTGGCTCACATCCACCTTCCTATCAGTTCGTTCACTTGAAGTTCCAATGATGATTTATATTGTAGACGATTCTTGGATTTCGGAGGAAAAGAAATGCTGACCACTCTCTACAAGGATGAAGACATTGATGTTGCCTTGAAAGCTGCTAGAATTACTTGTACTATCGCCTTCACTTATTCCGATAACAGTAAGATCTTTCTCGAGCTTGCATAATGAAATGTATTCTTTAGAGGAGTTGGTTGACAGTATATACGATCAGATTTGTGATGGATATATCACCAGTTTAACCCGCGCACCTGATAAAGGAATTAATGAGATTAAATACATGAAGTTAGTTGGATAACGTTGCCAAGTCTGAAGCGGAAATCTTTTCAGTAGTTTCCTTCGTAGCGCAAACATGAAGGCGTACGAGTTTCCCGAAATTATCAGGGAGAGTGTAGAAGCGGACAAAGACATTGAAAAAGATGAAAATACTGAAGATCAAGATGAAGAAGTATGCAACGTTTCGAGTGCTCTGGAAGCTCTATAGAGATCCTGAGATCATGATTGTTACATGAGAGTATACCCATAGTAAACTGTTGATTTGTCACTTCTTATTTTTCATTAATGACCTGAAAAAATGCATTATAAGGAAATTTCAATAGCTTATCCACATCCCACAATCAATGAAACATCCAAAAAAGAGAATCATTCCAGTTTACCGTTCCAATACAGCGGCTGAAATCTAATTGAACAATATCATTCAATAAGCTTGGATCCGTTTCTCAGCATATCATTTCACTTTGGCGTGAAGCGTGAGTGAGAAAAGATCTGGAACTGCTGTTCTTCATGGTTCAACTACCCTTTTTCTATCTCTAAATCTTTTCATTTTTTGTCTCTTTTCGTTCTCTCAAGTTCCGAGGATTAGAAACAGGCAGAACAAGGTTCCGTTGGCAAATGTTGTTACGTTCGGCCAGTGTGGTCATCAGTGTTATTATTTGAAGATGGATAACACGATGTTTCTCATTGCTACAATGACTCACTACTTATTTTATCTCCTGATTAATTATACTTCCTGACATGTTATCTCAACTCCCAAGAACATCCTTGAGCACCATTTGTGATAACCTTGCAGTTCTATCTCATCCATACTATCAATTCGTTTACTGAGGAAATGCGTGATTCCATCAGTGTTTTAACTAATATACTCACTTTATCCTTCTCTCTCTCTCTCTCTTCGACGACTAGCCAATCAAAAATGTTTCCTTTCCATCGTTCCATGTAGTGTTGTCTCCATTCCACTTACATGGACTGAACCAGCTTCAACATCTTGTAGCCCATACCCTAACTAGTACCAGCTACTACTGTCTCAAATGATTGGAAGAACATTACAACACTTGTTTCGAAAAAGCTTCTTCCTCTCTCTTACTGCCCACACGAACAGTTGGTCACACCATCTTGCCCTCCGTTCCTTTACTCTATCCTAATATTCAGATTGCTTTTATCTATCATCCTGTAATATTTCATAACCACTCACCTTATATGTAAACAGACTGAAATTGTTGCAATCAACCTGATTTCACTGCTCTTGTTTATGTTGCTAAGATTAAATGGTATCACTTTCAATCATAGATCCTTCCCCAGCAATGCTTATTGCCAGCGTGAGTCTCATTCAAGTTTCATGCCTATCTATCTTTTATAGCCGTACGGTCTCATAGAATGGCCAAGTAATTTTTTTCCAACCGTCATTCCTTCAACGACGCTAACAAAAACCGTTAGAACGGATTTCAAATCGGATAACGATAGTGAGTACAGGCGATTTCTTTATAAACCTGGAAAAAAAAAACATAAACTCGAGATTTCTTCCAAGTCCGAGAATCGCTATTCTATGAACTAATATTTTCAGTTCGAAACAAACTTGGGAGAAATTATAACCCGGGGAGACCACTCGCACTGAGCGTTCGTCAAAGGATCCTCGATCTTCATGAGAAAGGACATAAAATCACTCACATAGCACGAATGATTGGCGTAACTCATAGCTGTGTGTCAAAAATTATGAGCAAGTGAGTTGAACAAACTTCAATCAAATTTTAATTTTTTATTCTCCTACTTTTGAACCCCTCTCCGATGACTATTATGATACAGTAACCCTTTTCACAAGCATCTTGTTTTGCTCGACTAATTGAAAACTGTCAAAGCTTAGTCGAGTACAAGCTTATTTACCAGATAAATTCACCGCGGACTGACTCAGAAAAATGAACTATTGACTTGAGAAGGTGCCAAAATCAAATAACCAACTTCTAATTCTAAGCCCGTTCCTTAATTTGTTGATCCTTATCTTATCTTCAACATCTATTTACTTTTATTCTTTTTCAAAACAATTTCCAACCTGTGTCCGGGCTTGCAGTTTTGGCGAACGAGCAAAACACTCATATTAGATTAATAGGATTCGTCCAATAGGACAATGATGTCATATCTGTAAATAAGATGAACGGCCAATTTTTAAATATTTATATAATTTAAAACTAAATAACTATAACAACCATGTGACGGGTGACGAAATCTCGAGAAGTAAAAGAAAGCAACCGTCCCTTGCGTGAGCAACTACGAAAATGAATTCAAATTTTTCCCTCGTACGATTGCGTTTCGCGCATGCAAATTAGCCATAGAGCACATACTGAGAGCTGAACTTCCACTCACTCAACTCATCATCCCCATACAAATATTTTTTTTTAACAATTGTCAAAGCTTATGTAAGTTTAATGTAATGAATACACATGAAAACAAAAGTGCATGCATGGTGAAATTCACGAATATGTCTGGAACTATTTTGGATGATATTTTGCTTTTATCAACGCTGTTATGATATGAGAAGAATGGCGTGAAAGCTCACTGTCAAAAAAGAGCTTGTTTATTGTGACAGCAACGAACGTTTCGATAACACATAGTTGGTATGGCCAAATTATAGTCATATAGTTTTATATTAAGGTATAGAAAATATAAAATTATGTCTATTCCTTGTGTTTTGAAAGCAAAACAAGTTTTTTATCGCAACAAATCTTTCATGTTTGTGTTTTTTTTATTGAAAAGCAACAAGGTGCTGAGTTAATTTATCTTTCCTTACAGTGGGATAAATTACTTGGTCCCTGTGAGTAGAATCAAGTATACTTTCACTCATACTCTCTCCCTCTCTCTTCTTATGTTATCATGACACAGCTGTCTGGAGTATGGTAACTTGTCTAACGAATTACTCAACACCTTTTTCCTGTTATATTCATAGCATAGATTTGTTTTTGTGATTACTAAGACATCTTTGAAAAATGACATAAATTCATCTGATGACAAGATGACGAGAAAAAAGAAAAACAAACCAACATGTCAATTGCGCGAAAAAAAAGTTCAGCCCCATGAGAAGTGGTTCCTTCGAATAGTTACTTTCATTTGCGTATATATGGGGATTATTTGTGATGAGTTGTATTTGAGTAACCTCAGGCAGGCTTTTGAAAACTCTGTTTGTTTATGAACTCTTTTCGCAAATGGATGAGCTTCCCTTTATAATTGATACTATTGTTTCAACTTTGAAGAACAGTCAAAATAATTTTTGATGTGTTTTTAGGGAAAGTTAAGCTCCCCCTTTCCTTGAAAGACTCCAGGTGCTTGGATGGGCGAAATGACGTTACCATCGAAAACAGATGCGAATGAGTTTTTCATTGTATTTGCCAACAAAATCCAAACTTCATTTGGAAGTTAAGTACTTTTTTTCGTCTGAAAGTATGTTTGGTGTTCTCGAAGAGGGGTTAGAACCGAATTTCTGGAGTACTGTCTCTTCTACATGTGTTTGCGACTACTGACCACTCGGAAGTTTGTGAAAAGCCAGACAGACAGGCAGATATATTTCAGTTCTTCATTGTCATTATAATTACCCATTGTTTTACTTCTGACTGAAGTCCGAACGACAGTTCTTAACGAACAAATAAATATCCTGTTAGATCATGAAGTTCTTGTGCGTGTATGTGTGTATGTGTGTGTGTGTGTATATGTGCGTGTGTGAAGTGTAAACTAACAACTTTTACATTTATCTTCTGGTCAAATGGATGTGCTTGTACGAATCCGCAGAACTGAATCAGTGAAATTAATTGCTTCAACTGACGTCATAGTGGTTATCACATGAACCAATTGAAAACATGGTGAAAGAAAAGAATTTGTAATACATATGATCACGAAAAAAAATGGGAAGAATGAGAGTGAACATGAGCGGAAGATTAAAACAAGAGAAAAGAGAGAAGAGGATATCGGCTGAGCTAAAGTACGTATCTCCGGAGTAGCATGTGGAATCATGTGACTCGGACTTAAGAAAAGTTTCGCTTCGATAACTTCTCAACTATTCTCTTAATATAAGCTCAAACAAGAGCTGATCGAGTCTCAGCTTGAGAATGAAGCTGTTCTCAGAGTCATCCAAGACATCAACTTTTCCAGCTGAAATCTAAGATGCAGGAGAGAATTGAAAATTATTAATTAAACTTCTCAAATTAGCAAATGATGTGACACATATTTGACAAATTCCCTCTTCTCTCCTCTCTCTCTCAAACATTGAATGAAAAATTCTGATGAAAACAATCTTTTTTCAAACTCTCGTTTTCCATCTTTCTTTTCTCTGGACTCTCTTGAGCCTTGCATGCTGTATAGATGTGTCTTAGCTGTCTTGTAACCTCTACTTCTAGCAAAGTCTCTTCATTCCGTTACTTTGCCAATATCTCTTTTTATCTTTCCTTTCACTCTCTCTCTCTTTCTCACATTACTCTCCACTCTTCCATAATCACTTTTTCTTCCTCAAAATAAGAACAAAAGAGCTTTTCAGGTATAAACAAACAGGCTCTGTGATACCACGTAGCTCCAGAAGCTATGAAGCTGCAAATGATCTCATACCATTTATAGATATTCCAAATATTTCAGAAAACATTTCACCCAGAGATGATATATCCAAAACTGTAGGTTATCCTTATATGTTTTCTCATTCATTTTTGAGTAAGATTACAAACGATGCTGTCATAACTTCTGTTGTTCGACATGTTGAAGCTCAGGATGAGGAGTGCGGGAAGCTTTTCGTAGATTCTGTCATGGACGAAACAAAAGGATCAACGTCTTTAGTTTATTCGATAGAAAGGTAAAAAAACAATGAAACATTTTCAAAAGCGATGCTATCAGAAAAGGAGAAAGAGACGAGAGACATAGAGTAACACAGAGAAACAGTAGCAGAGAGAGAGAGAAAGGGAGCAAGTGGGAAATATCACGCGATTGCGTATGGCCATATTATATCCAATTATTGGCCATAATCTTTCAAATTATTTTACTTTCTAGAATATTCGAAAATATTCGTTCGCTGTCTCTCTCAGACTCTCTGTGCTGCAAGTCATAACTTTCCTTTGGTTTTTCCGGTAATCATACTAGTTCAAACCTTTTTTGAGGACTTGGCTTAGCTCAAGACCACATGAATCTTATGTGCCGTAATCTGAGGGGGCATGGCAACCGAATGCATCTGGCTTTCTTTTTATAAACTCTCCTTCTTTTCTTTCTTTTTTTTTCATTCCGTCAATCTCGTCAAAAAGCATGTTACTAACAAAGCCTCAGTATGTTTCAAAAGCTAAAAAGAAATTATTTGCCAATTCTAATAATATATCTTTTCCAGACTCCTAGCCTAGCAACTAGCCTGAGCTTTGGAGATCGATGCCACATGCTTCCACCAGGCCCACACACACAAGTTACTCTATATAAAGCGAAGAAGTTGCAACTTGACACACTACTCGACACGAAAAACCCTCCGAAAAGGAATTATGGATTGAGGAATGCTTGTTCCTTTAATTTATTTCATTTTTTAGGTTGATAAACATCTTTATTTATAATTTATTCTCGTTTATCTCCACGTACATCCATACATAACCTATCTGCCATTCTCATTTCCTTACTTTCGTATTTATTTCTTGTCTCCCTCCCTTCATCTGCTTTCCCTCTCTCCACTCATTGTGTCCAGCCTGCTGTTTTAGCCCTCCATTCTTCCTATTCCCATTTTCATGCATCTTCCAGCATTCTTTTCCCTATGCACCATAGCCATACTCTAGCACATCCTTTTCAAACTCTCTTCAGTCTCTCTTTATCCAGTTCTCTCGTTTTTGTTATTCTGCCTTTTTTCTCTTACTTCAGCCAATGTTCTCTCACCCCATATTCCCGCCCCCTCCCATTTTCCTCTATTTTCTGCAGATTTTCTTCTCATGAAACATCATATGTGTTCTTTATTTCAATGTTCTTTGATGCAACCATTAGAATTAACCTTAGTAAAACGTCATCTCCTCTTTAAAAAGCAAAACCTACCTTATTAGACTTCATTGTACACCAAAGAGCACTTTAATACAAAAAATAGTGAGAGAGATAGAGAGAGGGAGAGAAGCCTGGACGATGAAAAGCTGGAAAATATAGTCAATCACATAGTTGTATGAGAGAGTCAAAAGAATCAGAGAACATCGAAGAGAGAGGGAAAGAGACTTGTATCTTTAAGCTCTTCCAGATTACCAGTCCAGTCAGCCACTGCAGGCTCGTGAGCTTTCTCTCCATCTCTTTTTATTTCCTCCCTCATCCCCTCCTGTCTCATAGTCTTCCTCATCATTCCTCTGTTTCGCTTCAATTGGACGAAGCTTCTTCGTTTTCATTCAACTTTGCCTATTCCATTCATTGCCTCAGCTTAATCATGACAATTATTTCATAAGAGAGTTATTCTTAACAACAACCCAATCCATATTTGGATTGAACATGTGATTAAACGGATTATGTGATAAGATGATGATGGAGAGAGATGTCCATACGATCATATAAATAAAAAATATTTTCGGAAACAAACTATACGACTGAAAAAAGCCTCATAATGAGAAACAATTGGCATCAACGTCGTTATTGAATATCAATTCTGATGAAAATTAATTCAGCTTTGTTATTTCCTTTAGCACCTTCTCTATTTCTCTCTCTATCATTTTTGAGGCCTGCTCCTTCTCTCTGTGGCTCTCCATCTCTCCTTTCGTCCCTCTTTTTTCCTCTTTTTCTCTCTTCATCTTTTCTTATTCATAATGCTCCGAGCAGCAACACAAGTAAAAGCAGATCGTGAGCCATGTATGGTCACTGATGAATTGTCTCCTCATTTCATGTGTTCTTTCTTCCACCCTCTCTGCCCACCCCCTCTGCTTCTATTTTTCCTTTTTTCTTTCTTTGTCGCTCTCCAGCTTTTACGACGTAGTTCCACACATCCCTTCTAATCTTATATATTCTTCTTCTTTCTCCTCCATATCATTTTTTGCCGTCTTCTTCCATATAATCATCATCTTAATCATCCTCTCCGTCGAAAGGGCCATAAGCTTGTTAAAGCTCGGCATTGTCTCTCCTCGAGCTTTTTCGTAATCAATTGCCATCCTATGCTCTCTCTTTTCAACTTTATGCTCTCAGTCTTCAAACACATTTAAGCTAAGCATCTGAAGAAATAAAACGTTCATCAAGCCGGCTTGTAGTCGTTTGAAAAAATGAAGTCAGTGTCAAAAGAAAAAAAAGAGAAGGCGAGACCCGGATGCTTGCCAAGCTTAACCAACCCCAATTTTTGACCGCAAGACAAGACGGTGAAATTTGTTGTTTTCTTGTCTTGAGCCATAAGCAACAAATGGAAAACACAGAGGGAAGCTTCTAGTTGCTGTTCTTGGCTGTAGTAGGACAGAGGGCAATCTATTGAAATTCGATACGCACTCCAGACTGCCGAAAGGGTACACTTTTTGGGTTTGTCACCAATAAATATAAAACATCTAAATTCAGAAGTTGGTAAATGCAAACGATTTTAATTACAACCAGACATCTCGTTTTTTGAATCCTCCCCTCATGTCTGTACAACTACTACTCGTAGATCATTGATTCAGTCGTACGTCACGCTTGTTTGGGAAACAGATCTATAAAAGTATATCTAACCTAAAATTATTCTTAAATGTCATGAATGGGCGCATTCTCCGCCAGTTCGTTTGCCATTCTTCACTCGGAAGCCACCAGAAGCAAACGTGAAGTTGTTTCCTCCATCTATAATTCGCTTCTCCACAAATTGGCTCGCTTTATGCTTTTTTGCGACTTATGCTTACAAACCACTTAACATATGCAACTTACAGCTGAGCTTTATAATTTGAGATAAGCTAGGAAAAATCAATATTGTCATAAAATCACACAACTTCCATACAAATAATGGGAAAGCTAATGAAAATCCCATCGTCACCTGTTTTTTTCAATCCAGTTAAATGCTCCATCAATTATTTGATATACAAATGATCTGATAGGCTCTTTGACTTCAGAATCTCAAACGTGATATACTCCCACGTCAAAACAAGTTCACGTGGAATTTCTTATTTTTGCTTGTGCGGCGAACTGAATCGGTTGCTCTTGCATTTCTCTCACGCATTTCGCATGGAATACCTAACGCGCTTTTTTTCCATCAAATTGTTAATGGAGCGCGTTTACTTACAACACCCTCAACCCACTATCGCTGAAATCTTATATACAATTTAGTTTATTTAATTTTTAACTAGATTCCGCAAAAAGGCGAAAACAGCTAGACGATTTTGTCATTCAGTTGCTATTCAATTCGCATTAAGCATTATGTGTAGTTAGTACGAAAGCACTACACGTAAGAATGTTGCCTTTACATCTTATCTTTCAACTAAATGACGTTTTTTCTTTAATTACAATACTTTTAAGGCAAATTAATGGCTTATAACCAATGTAAATTCTAATTTAGTTAATAATAGAAGATTGTATCCTCAGCATAGGCGTTGATTGCCGGCTTTTCTCTCTCACACTCTCTACGACATTGCTGCTCCAGTACGCCTGGATCAATTTTTTCCTTTAGTTCTTCTTTTTTTTCTCATTTTCCCGCATTTCTTTTAATTTCACACTTCATGCTTATTGTTTGATCTGTCGTGCTTTCCATCGCTAGGGTTTCGCGATAAGCATGCACTGCTTAGCTTCCTTAGACATCTTTCAGTGATGTCATGAGGATAGTCGTCCAGTAACTATTATTGCAAAAAGAAAACAGGAAATCTTTCAGTTGAACAATTGCTGGATCGTAAGATAATACTAACGAACAAGTAAAAGGTGTTTCGAGAGGAGGAGCAATGACAAAAAAACAAGTCAGAAGATCAACTACAACTCTACTTCTCACTATTTTGGCTGATCCCTTTTATTGTCCCATCGAAGTGCAATCAGCTGGTTGCAAATCTTAACGGCAAACTTCTCTTGCAGAGTTCTACCCATATTTCCTATGAAATGAAGAGAAAGTTTATTTTACCGTTTTTAAAGTGTGCCGGTGATATGTTGACACTAGTACCTCTTGTTATCCACACCTTCTTTCATAACGACAACGTTCATCCTCCATTGTTAACTGAATTTGCGCAACAAGCGCGCTTTATTCTCATACTTTCAATCTCTTTGTCGAATTCAGCTCAATCCGCTACTTTCTCTTCCCTTATCCGTTTGCTCTGAACTTCACTAGACTCATCGTCAAACCACAGCTGTTCATAACTCACTAGCGGTGAGTTTGATCGTATGCGTAATTAATCCTGCACGGATTGGACCACCCATTTCTCAAATATTTCAGTTTGCTAATTTTATTCAAACTAAGCGGGAAGTCCGATTTTAGCGCGCTTTTAGTCATACTCCGATGAGTTATAACTACAGCTTTTTCTTATTTTCTATTCTGAAGAACGATTTGTCCAGGACAACTTAAGTCCTAAGGCACTTTCAACCGGTCTTAAAGTATTATGTTAACCGACTGACAAATCCCGCTCGGGTTCGCTGTGATGAATGTGTGATTATTCTTTCTTTAATAACTTGCTCACTTTTTGTAACCGCGCGTTTTGTATTTTATCACTGATATCGATTGTAGATATAAAGAAGATCATCGACTTCGCGGTTCTTATATTTTGACCCGCCGGTCATGTCACCAGCTCAGCCAACCTTACCGTCATCTCATATTCCAAGTTTTTACTGTACTTGTAATATCTAGTGGCAGTCGTTGAGCATTCTGGACTTCGTCCCCTCGCTGTTTCTATTATTTTTCTATTTTTTTGGTCTCTCAATTGTCCTCCTAGTCTCTGAGATGCTTCTTCATTGACGCTTAAGGAATGGTTGTTGATGTATTGTTATCCCTTCAGCTGACTTATGTGTATTTTTTTCGTCTTGGATTTCCTTTTTTAAGGAAATGTAGTCGCTCAGAACGGTTTGAACAGGTGCCACAGATGTGGCCTGTTTTGTATCTTCCATCCTTTTATTCGCCGTAGGAAAAGCAGTTATCGATTTTATCCTCATTTCCGTTTTCGGATAGCTCGTGACCCCTTTAGAATACTTTTAAGCGCTAGGAAGCATGTAAAGCTATGTCGTTGTATTTACGAAATTATGTTTTCACGTAGGTTTCAGTTGACTGACATGTTGGCATATCTTGATAGAATCTTTTAGTTTGGAACTGTTTTCGTTTTAGTCTTGTTTTGTCTAATGCAGTTTTGCCTTAATTAGTCGCTAATGGTTGGTGAAGCATTGAGGGAGAAAGTATGAGAATAAGCGAACATAATAATGAGCTATTACTTGAGAAAGTTGATGATCAAAGTTAGGTTGATGATCGGTTAGGCTGATGTAGAGCTCTGGGATGACGTGTCTGCAGTTACCGCATTCCTGAGTCTGAAATTTCAGCTGATCAGGCAGGTCAGGATTGTTCTTAAGCGTCTTGATCACTCAGTCCACTCGGCTAACTTTTTCATGTCGATCTCTGTTGTTAACTGCACCAACTGTTGCAGGATATTAGAGGGGATGAATTTATCCGTTCATCGAAAGGTATCGATGATGGATAACTTACAACATGTCCACTAAGTTGGGACTTTATTCTGATGTTGTCGAGTAATTTCTTCTTTTCTTTGCTTCCTTTGCAAATCTTGAAAACATTTTTTTGGTTTTCGCTTTTTCTCTTTCACCCCATACGGATTTTTTTGCGAACTGAGATTTCTTTCCAAATGATCCTATTCGAATCTGTTGTCTACAATCTCTTCCTCGGCTGTTCTTCTCCAAGTCTGATCTGTGTTTTGAAGTCCTTTATTGAAGCCTCATAGATGACATTCATATCTTATGCTGCTATGACTGAGCACGTTGCAAGAATTCTTTTTTTCGTCTGGTTGTTGAATTACTGACTAGACTTCTTGATTTTTTGAGATTTTTCTGATAATGTTGTTGACTAGGGAAGTATGCTTCAGCTAATGTTCCGGCGAAGTAGCCCTAATGGTGTTGATGATCCTTAACCTGCATTGTTCTTTCACTTTTGTACTAAGGGTGCAAACCTGTTCGCTAAAAGTAAACTTTGATTAAAATCTCGATTCTTTCTACTTACGCCCATGTTTTACTAGTTTCCTTTCTTTTATTCAAACCTTCAGGTCGGGATATGGTGCACCGGCAACACCAAACGCTTCTTCCCCCCGTGCAGGGACACCTCTCTGCACAGCCATTCATGAATAACTGTTATTCTGAAATGTGCATGAGTAATGGTGCTGTAGGTAAGGGTACGGCTTGCAAGTTTTCTTTTATTTTTAATTTATTCAGCTCCTGCTTCACATGAAAAAAAGCTCGGATGGGTAGTAGCTGCTATTTTTATCGTCGCCGACATGGTGGGTGGCGGAGTAGTAGCGATGCCTGTCGCTTTTAAGAAATCCGGTGAGTCCATCTTCCCAATACTCTCATTCATGACTTTGTAGGACTGGCTGCTGGAATTATTTTCATGATTGTAATCGCAATTATGTTTGAATATACCGGATATCAGCTAGGAGTTGTTTGGTGCAAGATGATGGAAAGGTACTAATAAGATTCTCTTCTTCCCCCTGATCAACCGGAGTTTCCAGGTTCCCTCATTTGGGTGTTTGTCGGAAGCCTTTCCCAGAAATGGCTAAGCGCACCATGGGTCCAGGAATGCAGTAAGTTTTTGATTCTTTTATGTTTGTAATCGTTCGCATTGAAGGAGGTTTACTTCGGTTATGGGAAACATTACGCTTTTCGGAATTTCCGTCGTTTACTTGCTGTTGTCTTCCAAGATTTTACAATACTTTGTTGACCAGTTTACTGATTTTGGAGTTGGAATTTGTCATGTAAGATTACCACAGGGGAATGTTTAGCTTTACCATTCATTGTAGGTTATTGTTATTCTGGCTATTACTATCCTGCCATTCACATTCTTGAAAAGTCCTGGAGAATTCGCGTAAGGCTTTCATTCCTTTATGCCCCTAAAAAGACTTTTCTTTCAGTGGTGTAATTGTTGTCGCTATGATCACAACTGTTGTGGCTGTCTTATCAATTTTACTCGGAATCTCGATGGATGCTCCTGAATGCTATAAAGCCGTCAAGTATCCAGAACAGGACGGAGGAACTGTGATGCTCTCTCTTGGTATCTTCCTCTTTTCCTTTTCTGGACACTACGTCTTTCCCACGATTCAACATGATATGAAAAATCCCCGTGATTTCACAAAGTCTGTACTCGCTGGATTTGGAGGTATCGTTAACCTTGTTGTGTTGTTGTGATGATGAGATTTAGGTGTTGTTCTGCTGTACATGCCTTTATCCGTTCTCGGTTATACCGTCTACGGAGATTCCCTGGACTCTTCTGTTATTACCTCTATTCAGACAAGTTGGCTTCAGGTTTTCATATGTTGTTCCAACGGTACCGTAATCACACTTGTTTTCAGCTCGGAGCCAATTTGATGATCGCAATCCATTGTATTATGACACTTGTTATTGTTATTAACCCCTTAAATCAAGAAGTTGAACACTATTTGAAAATTTCCCACGGTTCGTGTTTGAGTTACGGAAGAGCTAACTCAGGTTTTTAGGTTTTGGTTATGGTCGTGTTATAACCCGTACTGTTGTTCTTATTCTCGTTCTTTTTGTTGGACTTTCAGTTCCTGACTTCTCTCCTGTTATGAATATTGTTGGTAAGTCATGGTTATACCAGATGACGATTATGATGATCGAAATTTAGGTGCTTCAACTATTCCCATCGGATGTGTTTTCCTCCCTTCTTTGTTCTACCTTTGGTGTGAAGCAACTGAGGAGGATGAATGGAGAAAAGGTCATATTCCTTCATTGCGGGAGTAAGTCTTCTGTCAGCTTGACTGTTCACTCATCTACTTGTTCCAGTGTAATCCGGAGAACAGATTCTACAGTTTTAATCATCAACCTCTTCATGCTTGGCATAGCCCTCGTTGGTGGATGTGTTGGAACTTACGTTGGAATCGAAAAACTGAAGGATGCTGAATTCTCAGCCCCATGCTATGTCCGTCCTTTCATCGAAGATGTTAGTTCGACAACCTTTTCTATTAGTCAACGGTAAGTCTCAATGTGCAAGGGATGTGATTAAGAGCCTTGTACTTTCAGTTGTTGCGGTGCTTATTGGAACGTCAGTACGTACGGAACACCAGAGATTTGTTCGCCTCGTACATTTAATGTCACGTTGGCCTAAAATCCATGTATCATACCCAAATTAGATATCAGAGGGTTACTTACCGGTTATAGTATGTTCTCGGTTTTTTACTTCGGTGACGAGGATAGAGACTTTCAAATTTTGAGCAATATCTTAATAGAGGAAATTATATACAGATTTTTCATTTATCCCGAACTTTCTTTCTGAAACTTTTTGAAGTTGATCATGTCTTATTCCTCACCAACCCAAACACATTTCTCATTTACTAATTACCTAATCTGGATTAGCAGGTAGAATACTTCATCCTGTAGAGTTAACTATGCTTGTTTGAGGTATCACTCTTTGGTGATATTCACTTCTGCATGCTCCATATCATTTCTAATTTGTATTTTTGCTGATTAACCTCATGACTTTGTGTACTAATTTTTCAAAAAAGCTGTATTTTTCCCCAGATACTCTCATTTTAACCTTTTTTTCCGTCTTTGATTGTACTTAAAGACCTTTTTTTCTTCTAATTCTTTACGTTTTTTGTAATAAATTAGAAAATCACTAATAGACTCATTGTCTCGTGAAGGTTGGTTTTAATAAAACTCGTACCGTTTTGTTCTGTAATTTGAGATTATGAAAGCTTCCGTATTCCAATATGATACTAGGAAACCCTGTTTCCTTCCTATAATGGCATCATCATAGTTGTCGTTATTCACTTTTCGTCAAACGTTGTTTGTCAGTTGACGAATCTCTTGATCCAATAGATCAGTATCTTTACGTACAAGTTTGATCATCAATGAAGATTGTCGTTCCCGTTTAAAGTACAAACACTGATTATTCATGTATTGTTACACACATAGTCAATGGCCCACTTATGTATTTTGGTAAGAAGGGAACTCAACACACAAGACAAAACCCCAGAGAATCCAACAGATTCTCTCTCTCGCTTGTTCAGATGATTTACATATCCCAAATGTCATACAATTGGATTAGGTACTCAGTTTAACAAGCATTATCAAAGATCTTGTGGTGTTTAATGTGTTTAAATATACGAAATTACCATTTTCCAAGAAAAACTAGAGGAGTTTCTAGTTCCGGTAGTTGTTGGCAGCTACTATCTTTTCAAACTACTGCAAATTACGCTATGCAGAAATAGAGAGAGCCTCCTACGAAAACTGTCTCCGCACTTCCTCCAAAACCAATATTTTCTAACTTCATCGTACATTTTTTGATCTTTAATCACTGGTAATACAAAATTCTGTTGAATTCTCGAAAAAAGACCAAAAGTGCAACTTGTGTTAACATATTATGCTTGGATAAAATTCAAATTTGAAACGCGCGCGCGATTTCACGGCCGCAACATGAAGTTAATGATAATCTCATTTTTGCGCGTACTCGACGCAAGATCGGTTGAACGTATCCCATGGGATCGTTCGGGATCATTATGAATGAAGTACGGTCTAAGCGTGTTTGATTTTTAGTTTAACTCCCAGTTCGGTTTCAGATTTATGTATTGGAGGACCTTCTATATATATCTGAGCAATTAAACGATAAGTTCTTTTTTTTTTTGCAAGTCCATCTTACACTTTCTGGGCTTTAATCGCGATCGGTCTCATAAAATGTCTAAGTGGGCTCAATCTATTCAATTTTTATTCCCAGTTGATTTTGAATAATTGTATTATCGTAATCAACGGAAGCATGGAACGTCCATGGTTGGTACGCATGCTCTACTGAGACTATTATTTTGAGATTTAAATTGTTCTCAACCTCATAATCTCTCTGACAAATAAGAAATCGTACCTTCTCAAAAACCGCCTTTCAGTATTCAAATTATTATGAATATCAGTTTTGTTTTTAGATTCTTGATATCAGAATATGTTAGAAGGTAGTATGTTTTCTGTCACTCCTTTCTATGGCTATCTTAGCTAAGATTGATATTCGATTACTTCGCATCCGCGCTTAGTGCTTTGAGCCAGTCATCTTGCATTTCCGCTCTGTTTTTTAATCAGAGAATATAGAGAAAAGCATTGATCAATCTGAAAACCTATATTTATGTGCGCTAAGCACCTTTACACGTACGGTTTCGTTGCTATGTCAATTAGGTTCCGGATGGTGTTACTTACTTGTCAACAACGGACGGATAATTTCCAGTGTATTTATGAAATACATAACCTATGCTGGAAAAAAAGCTAATACTTCATTTCACTCGCTATCTATCATTCAAAACAGATCTTATGTGCATTGTATTGCTGTAGCGCGAATTCATTCCAATCTACATATCGTGAAATTGTAGTTTTCTACCGTTTCAATTTTTTTTTGGACATAAACAACATATTCCCGTAAATAGATTGTGTATTTCGAAAAAGGAACCATCCACTTGATTTAGTTCGCCTATTTCGACACTCAGATGTGATAATCTTAAGCCAAGCCGTTCCTCCATTCTGCTCAATTCTTTGTTCATTGAAACGGATGTGGCCATCATCTGAGTTTTAATTTCTTATAAGCTTCCAATTATCCGAATGATTCAGTATTATGGAGTTTTGAAGAAATTATTTGGAATCGCTTATGTCATTGCTTTCATTGTCGCTCTCCCACCTTCCTCACACTAATCGGGGGGTTCAAACATTAGTTTGGGCATAACTCGCAAGCTGTTTTCGTTTATTTTCTCTCGAATTGGAAAGTGCTCTATGTTTGGAAGTGGATTTCATAGCTGACGAACTTAAAAGTCGAACCAGTGAACCTTATTATAACTTTTGAAAAATCTAAACCTTATTTTGAGAATGTCGATTGTTTTGAAACTCCTGTCTCATTATCGGATGTTCATGTATTATTATCAGTATCTTTTATCTCCTGCCCCTCAAGGGATGGCTATTTTCGCTTTGCTAATTACTGCGTACAGAAATCCTTTGGCGGAGAGGCTAAGAATGTTTTCATGAGAAGATATGTAGCCAAAGTGTCTTTTATCACTTGAATTCTTCACAGTCGAGTATAATAAGAAGAAAAGCTGTTTGCTGATATAAGTTCTTCATCAGTATCAGGAAAACATTGCGCATGATTCCAGAAATGTGCACTTACAATTCGAAATCGAATGGGTGAGCAAAATATCTCATTCTCCATTTTCCTCCAGCCCTCCTCTCACTTATAGAAATTTGTTTTGATTAACTTATTACTACAATCTTTTTTTGGAAGTTTCCTTTTTGCTTTGTTATATCTCCTCCGCTTCGTTCGCTTAACTGTTATCGTAACTCCCATTATCTCAAATTGCTTGAGCCGTCGTTGCCGTCATCAATTTTAGATTACTGTTCCTCTCAATTCTAATCCAGTCTCTTACAAAGCATAATTTCAGAATGTATCGCTGGCTTATATTCTTCGCTCTATTTTCTGTAGTTCTGAGTCAACCGAAATATCCTGTTAACTACGTTACTCTACGGCAAATTCGTGCCATCGCAGCTCCTTCATTCAATTCTTGGTGTATATTCTATCCCGACCGCTGTCGATTGCTTCAACACGATTCTGGCATCAAGCGCCGGTACAAAATTTTCTGACCAACGGTCACACGCATGCCTGCCCGCGTCTAAATCCCACACACACACTCACACACATACTCACACCTCACACCCTTTGTCATGGAAGTGGAAGGAGCCAACAGTGGTGGACCTCGTTTGATTTCCTTTCTATGTTAGAAAATGCATAAATTCAGTTATTAAATAAATTCATTGGTCAAGTTCATCTGACTACTCTTATTTTCCCGAGAACAAAAATAAATAAAAACAAAAAAATACAAGGAAACGGTTATTTTAGAATGGTTAAGAACTATGAACATGGTTTTGCATGTGACAATGATCAGCATCATCATAAATGATTTGTATGAAAACATCTCATGAATCGTTTAACAAAAACGGTCAAATCATCCACTCACTACACTACGACGACGCAAAAATCAAGCTAGTTCACGGAAATCTATTCGATGGTCTGTACATCTCTGTTGGAATGAATGGTCCATTCTCTGCTTTAGTTATAATTATAGCAAAGTATATTCAAAATATTAACCCAAATGATTTTAGCGATATCTGAGTACGTGACTGAGACTACTTTGAAATTTTATAAGAGCGAAAAGCAGCAGGAGACACATTTATCCAAAACTTTTGAGAGCTAAATGCAATTTCAAGTTAGTTTCACGTACTCCGAAAAGGCAACAACATTAAAAACGAATGGAATTAGCAGTGAAAAGCATCCTACAAGATATTTTGGTGTGGACGGCGCAACATTACCACACCTGTTGGCATTGTTGGTTCCGGCTTAGTATACTTCTCACATCAGACGCGAACCTCAGTGCGTCCAGAAAAGGTAAGAGGTTTAATAAACAAGTGTCAGTGGGGTCAGAGAACCAGGAAGGTATCGGAATTGCATTCTCTGAAATTAACATTTCATAATAATATGTAACAAGGCCCTCATTAGGATCAGCAAAATCTCATGAGCTAGCATGCGCTCTCTCAATATTCCCAAAAACTAATTTGGGGTTTGAACGCACATGCGGATGGCAATGTTAATCTTTCATCGACTAATACGAGTCATGGCCCGCTCAGCTGATATCCTTATAATCTTCAACTGCGATTTCATAAGAAGAAAACTCACGTGGAAATTTTCGATATGCACCGGGCGAATTGTCTAAAATAAAAATTGATGATAAGTCATGATGAATGGCGCTAAGGTCTTTCGTATATCCTCCATAATCCATTGTACAATGCTGACGAAAGTACCTAGAGAGAAGCAAGATAACTATCATGAGCTGTGTGAAGGTCATTCTACCTTCTGCCTAATATATTTCTTCCTCTATCGAGTTTATCAGCTACATGTGTTCCATATACTTCCATACTAGCTGTGAATACTACCAAATCGAACCTGAATATCATAAAATCGTAAAAGCCGTCAATATTCCCGCCGACTAACCATTGACTCACGACAGATAAGAAATAGTCCACATGCGGTCTAGCATGAACCGAAAATCTTACGGGATGACGATCAATTGTGACCTAAACAGAAAGAAATACGTCAGCTTGCATGTGAATATGAAACTGTGGGAACGTACTTTGATAGTGAAGTCGGACGGAGTTCCAGGCTTTACCATTGGTCGAACAACACCGTCATGATGAGAATGAATTAATGTTTCATCAAGGTCTAATACTAATATTTTCTTTTTGACAACCACTGAAATATATGATTCATAGAAGGGATAGAAGGTCGCAATGCAACTCACGTAGACGATGGCTAGTTAGAGGTGATAATTGAACATGCTCATATTTAACAACTTGATATTTCTTGTACTGAAATAGAAATTCACACATGTGTAGTGGAACAATGAACATACCCCTCGATATACCCGCTTCAAGCCTTGAACAAAATATGTGAATACGGCTCCGATCATAACCACAAATGTTGTTAAGAAACCCATGATTGTTTTTGATAAAGAGCCCGAGCGTTGCATCCGCCGATCATTCGAGTTCTGTCTGCGCATGATTTCTTAAATCATACTGCTTTCATTCCCTGAAATCATTCGAAATTGAGAATCAATAAGATCCGAAGCCATTGTGTCAAGGCAATCGATAGCTCTTGCTCATAAAGGAGAATAAAAGAAACAAAAAAATGGAAGATGGAAGTAAATAAGTAATGAAACTTGAACTGAACAATGTCGTAATAGGATAGTGATCATAGTCAATGCAAACATTAGATTTGAGAAAGAAGCTCAGCATTTCTTGCTTCGCTTTTCCTCCAAAATACAATTGAAACCATCGAAAGGACGTTTGAGAACCGTAGAAATATTGAAACATATGATTAATTAATCGATTTCCATAGCTTTTATACTACTATCGGGATTTAAAAAATGGACACGGAACTTGCGCCTGAACGACATGCGTTTTTTTGCGCTTGACGCATAGTCGGTGTTTCTCGGATGTCAACTTTGTTTTTTGAAATTGTTTATTATGTGTAATTTATTCCAATTTCACGTTAACTTTTTGACATTTATATTCTTAGATTCTTTTTTCAGAGCTCAAACTCGAACAACATGGGTGATTCTGTTGCGACAGAGCCTGCTCAAGCTGTGGAGCATGTGAAAGCTCCAGCTCCGGCAAAGACCGCTGGTGAGCAAAAATATGTTGATCCAATAGACAAATATTCGGCCCTGATAGTTAGAGTATGTTTTGTTTTGTTGAGCATAAATTTCAATTAATCTTTTGAGGGGACAATCGTTGGTGTTGGAATGGCTGGAATCGCTCTTTTCTTGAGGAACTCTAGAATTGTATGTTTCCTTCAAAACTGGAAAATGAAAAAAACATTTTCAGTTTGCTCGGTTTGAACATGTCAATCAAATTCCGAAGGATTTTATTCGCAAAGAGCTCGAATTGAAAGGACGCGTACGCGAGGTATGAAGGCTTTGTATTGACTGTTATTCTGAGCCTCAGCTTTGTAGGTTTTGCCTTCCGGAGAGCTCCGTGTAGAACATGAGCCAATTATCAAATTGCCCTCGCTTTTCCGCAGAAAACTCACAGATAAGGTATGTGAAGCTTTCTATTTTTTGTTATTCTTTTTGTAAGTTTTTTTTTCGATTTTGACATTATGAAGAAAAGCAGCATTTACAATTAAACTTACAAAGATAAAAAGAAAGACAGACTAACATTTGTAAGGAAATGTTATTTAGAGCGGACTTTTAAATATCAGACTTGCTGGCATTGATATGTCTAAAGCAGGGCAACAATACATCTCCAAGGACCTTCGATTGACTAACAAGCCTGTTACTTTCACTGTTATCAAGGTTTGTCTTCTTTTAAAAGACTTTCTATGTTTTGTTAAATAGAGCAATGATGAATCCCCAGACGCTGTCGACTGTGACGTGACTGTTAAGAAAGTAAGTCGTCTTCAACTGTGTTTGAACTTATATTATTATCGCAGAATTTTGCCACACGAACAAACTTGAACCTTGAGTTGATCCGTAAGGGTTATGGAAGAGTTCCTGCTCCTGATCACACCCGTCATTTGAAGTCTCTCCAATCCGTCCCAGCTTATTCACGACTGGTGAATAAGTTGTTGATGAGTGAAAAAGTTAGTTTTTTGTTTACCTGGAACTTGCTTAGTGGGCACGTGTATGCTAATTTAACGTGGCAGCTCCCGCTGTTCTTTATGCTAATTTTCCGCCGCGCTTTTTCCTTCACGTAACGTGGAGTGCGTCATTTCTATTCAAACTTTCACAAAGAACGGTCGTTTCTTTCTCCTCTCTAGTTTACTATTTGAGTTTTGATAAGTCTCGGATTCACAATTTGTTTTAAATATTTTACAGGTACTTGACTTTTTTTTGCTTATAGGTTGCTGATCGACGAGGTGTTGGTGTTTGGGAGAGAGATACATGGGTTGAGTCTGTTCAGTCGTACCCTTCTCAAGTGGGGCAGATGATTCGAGCTACTCCAGCAGCGAAAGCTTTGGTTTGTTTATTTTTGAAAATGACCTTCCTAAAATCATCATTCCGTTATTTTCACATCTTCTCTGTAGTTGTGAATTGCATTGAAGCTTGTTTTTTTGCAGGTTCTTTTGTTCAATGTTACTCGTGATGTTATCCTCTACGGAGTAAAGCTCACACAACAAACGTATGCGCTCGTCATTGGAATTTGCAGTTATATTGCGGGAGGCTATCGCAAGTTTGCAGTTGGAGTGGATCGCCTCACGGACAAGTATAATAAAATTAGGCAAAGAATCAAGCCATAGGCGAAATAGGTCAGTAATTATATTCAATCCTCGGTGTCATGCAATGAATTTAGGTCTGTTTTTTTCTGGCTCAAATGATGTTCTAGGTGAACTCTGTTGTACATGTTAAGTTATCCAGCTCTATCAGTCAGTAAGCGGAGATATTGTTACTTAGTTTCGCTATGAAGACCACCAAGTTCTAGTTGTCTCAACCCATTGATTCCCAGTTATGAGTGCATTCACCCCCCCGGTAGATTAAAACAAATTTTGTATGCCATTGAGAATAGTCCGTTCAATACGTTGTTTAATAGGTCAGGTAAATAACATTATATGTAGTTCAGATTAAAAAAGATTAGCTCAATTTATTTTTTTCATATAACTGTTTTATGCAGTTACATATTTGAAATCTGTCACAACTTTCCATCTATATTCGTAGAATCGTTTCGTTTCAGGGTTAAGACATATTTACAATGCATTTTATGAAATTTTATTAATTTATCTAAGCGAGGTAATACTTTAACACTTTGAAGCTTCTCAACTCGTTATGTTATATAGAATGGAAAATAACTGGTACCTTGACTCTCCTTCACATAGCGAAGAAATTCCTTCCGCTCCAGATTCAAACACCGAAAGTTCCGATAACACGAGCGAGGTTGATGGAGTTACGAGGTAGTATTATTCCATGACATGCTTAAAAGGAATGTTCTAGGCTTTCTGTTGGTAAGCCAGGAAACGATGGCGGTTCCAATGTTTTGCAACGGGCTCATAAGCCTCCTTGTTTGCTGAAAGAAGGAAAAATGGTTAGTCTTTTTGTTCTTCTTGGTGAACAGGCTTCTTGGAGTACATATATATTGGGTTGTGCTCAAGCGTACAAATGCAATATAGTCTGAGCCCCGAGTATAACAACTCGGTAAATCTTCGATAGGCTGGCGAAAAAGCTCGAAAGATTTCGTTTGCCATTCTAAAGTACTTGCATGATTTTGCATTTAATTTCAAATAATAGTATATTGATGCCATTTTCTATCTAAAAAGCCTCCGGGGGAGATTTGTGTTTGGCTTCGAGAATTGACGGGCGAAGTCGTGTATTCTTCAATACTCTTTAATTTCTCCATGGCAATATCCTGGTGTTGCTGAGAAATAATACACAATTCTATTGAAATCGTCAGCTGAATCTCACTTTTCTTATCTCTTCGAACGTTCTTGCCTCTAAAAGAGCAACGTTGAAATCATTGTCTCTCAATATCCCTATGATGTAAGAAATGTGTTACCCTTGTGCGCGCCATTAGATAAAGCTCCGCCCAAAAACGAATCTATCGCTCATCTGACACCTCTTTCGCATAGCCGTCTTCGATATTCTATTTGCCCTCTGGGTACATTGACTTTCATTCTACTCCAATTTGTTACTCCAGTTTCTTCATATGGCGTTTTAGAGAAATGTTTCCTATGAAATTCGTCTCTTGCCCGGAAAATAAGTGACGGATAATCCGACGTGGCCAGGATCTATATGCGGAGCAGCTTCTCTCAGTAGCTAATCCCCCCATTATTGATTCTAACAAAATCTGTTTTATTTTTCTAAGATTTTTTTATCATTCCTATTCATATGCCTGATCAGTTAAATCAGTCTTCTGCCTCAAGCAACAGATGGGGAAGTATTCCGTTAAGTCCTCGAATGCGACGGCTAGCATTACAACTGCCATCTATAAAGATATCCCTAGAACCCTCTAGCCCACCATCTATCAGTCCATCACCGAGATCGGATGATGTAGTGGCTATGAACTATCTGCAAGTGCCTGGGATAGATAATGATGATTTGGAGCTTCTACGTATTGCTTCACCTCCCCCTGATCGTCGAGGTAGTTTTGCTTCGACGGTCAGTGATATCAGTTCTGTTACAATCCCAATGAGTGGCAGCTATCAAAATCTTCTATCTCCTATGTGGACATGCATGAAGTATTACAACGATGAGAATGATACACCTCCGAATGAGCTTGTTAGGAGGCCACGAAGTGCTCAGGTAACAAAATCCGTAATATTGAAACAACTGAGGGACTGAAAGCAGAGTCTGGAATTTCCTTTTGTGTACTATCTTCGGATCTACTGCTCCAACCAACTCGGTTTATTTGTCACTACTACTCTCATATTTTTTGGCATTCTTTGTAATTTCATAACTAAAACTTCATTAAATTAAATAAGTTTTTGGGATTTCGCTCTGCTGTGGTTTCTTTCATATCTACCACGTTATGGGGATTGTAATTATTTCTTTTGGGCGCTAGATTTTGGATTGATTTCCTCATTGTTAAATCCATGTTCCTGTTGGTAACGTGAGCGCCTCAAAACTCTTCTAGCTGAAGCACTCTTCAATATAATAGAATTTACGGTTGTTTTCTGGATTTCGGCACTGTGATGTTGAGCGGAAATAAGAGAACTCAAAAATTCATTTAAAACAGATTTCCGCCTTTGGTTTTTCAATTCATCTTTTTATACGTTTTCTTTATTTCAGGGCATTGGAAATGAATCAATCTGTGTACCACCCGTTCTTTTGTCTCCAGTTTTATCGCGACCTATTCGTTCTCATTCTGCGGCTTCCAGCCCTCTTCCCATTAAGCACCAGGTTTGTTTAGTCTGTTTACGGTCTCTTTTAGATTCAAATAAAAAACTTTGGATATTCATTTCATTCTTTCCAGGGATCTGACTCTGAAAGTGATCATGGAACACCTTGGCGTCCATCTGCTTCGGGCATGGCTCGGCGAAGTTTGGCAAGTAGTTTAGCTTCGGGTACCAGTCTTGGCAAAGAACCATCACGACCTAATACTCCGAACTTGTCACCGATTCTTAAACGTTCGGCAAGTGGTAGCAGATTAGCAGCAGCTTTGCAAGGTATGTAAAAGGCTATTTGAGAGCTTTGCCAGCTATTTTTCACGTATATAAATTTCAATTTCAGGCCTGAGAAGTGGCTCAGGAAATGGACTCGTTTCCGGACGAAGCGCGTGTTTATCGAGAGCTGAATCTCTGTCTGATCAAGACCGTCAGAGAAAAAAAAGGAACAGACGGAGGACTATGGTTCATGGTTAGTCTTTCAAGTTTGGGTTTAAATGCTGGGTTGTTACTTTGGTCAAACGTTTCTACATTCAACTATTAGAGTCATATGTGCACATTGACATTCCTATTTTGACTTTTTGCCGTTGTCATTTGTTTTCAGTAATCTGCCTATTGACTCTAATCCGTCTAGCTTAGAAGAAAGAATTCGGAAAGAAAGAAACGATTAACATGTTTCTTGTTTTCCGTTCCTAACTTTTAACTGACTTGACCTATCTATGTTTTGGTTTTTTAATGGAGTGAGGATATGAGTACTGTTAGTTTCGGGGTACTTGACAATAGTTTGAGAGCAGCTCTAACGGCGAATCGTTCGTTTCAAGCGTCATAGTCTATCTGCTGTACCTAAATCCACTTCTCTGAGCTGCGCTTTTCGAAGCCAGATTTTCTCTCTTCACTCGCCAACGAACACATCTTCACTCGATTTTGCCTTTTCACGATCGACAGCCATTGTTATTGTTTTCTTCCTCTTCTTTTGGTTGGAAGGTTCTTTATCTGAACGCATTTAACCGAAATCGAAACTAACACCACATCAACTCCTTGGTCTCCTTCTTTTTCCATTTATTTCTCCCGTTCTTTCCTTCCCGATCGTTTATTTTCTAGCAAGTGAAGGCCATTTTGATATGTTTCTTTTTTTGCTGAATGTTGTTGCCTCAAGTTTTTCCTATGTGTTTTGCATCAATTGTCAGCAGAACTTGAGTGATACCTTTCGATAATCACGTTGGCTATTTATAACTAACGGCTTTTCAAATATCACAGTTGAAGCTCTTCACTTTATATCTAGTTGGAGCCTTTTTCAGTGAATTTTCGATGATAAGATTGTGCTCTCTGCAAGAGAAGTCGCTATTTTACTGATATTGTGTATTCTTATTCTAGTTTAACAGCCGTCCTCACAAGATATTTATCATAAGAATGTTGATTCTCAGGAATCAACTTTTGTTAGTTATTGTGCTTTTCTCGTTCTCCAAGATAATATTTCTTTCTCACTTCTGCGTCGTTGTATGTTAGTAACCACCCTTAACCATACTGATTATAACAAATCATCTGGTGGTTGATGTATTACCTCACCTGTACTGTTCATAACAAAGAATGCCATCTGCGTTAGACTGCATTCAATAGCAATATCCCATTTAGTATTCAATACCCCAATCAGTAGCTATCTTTTTTCTTGAAAAGACGGATGTTTCACTCTGTGGCTATTCAGCACAACTGTTTTGTCTGAGATGGTCATATTGGATAATTATCCTCGCAAGCTGCATACTCATTTGAAAGCTCCATCTTGTTGTCTGTCGCACTCCGTCATCCTCCTCGATTTCGATCCAGTGCCTCGACCCTCCTAACTTACATGATCTCTGCGTCTTCCAGCTCCACCCTCCAAATGAGTCTCGCCTCACTTCTTTCCCATGTATAACTCTTATGAGGCTCAGTTGACTACAACAAAGCCATCAAGGTTTCATTACATGCTCAATATAAAATGTTTTCCATTTTGTTTTGGTTGTCATGCAACTAACTGATCTGTTTGATTTTCGCTTCTTATATGTTTTCAAGAAACACTTGCTTTTAAAAGATATTTTTTATGCTTTTCTCTGTTTTTTCTTGTTTAGCCCTTCTACTTGCTCACTTGTACTTTGTATGTGGTTGTATCAAGCTTTTTCATGTCCAAGTCATCGGAAAGACTCAATTTCTTATGCGAATGAGTTCAGTACCATATACTTTCTTTTCTACTACCCTATCACTTAATTATTAAATCCGATTCTTCCTAAATCTTTTATATGGTCGATTCTTCCTCTGGGAATGGTCGATGTCTTCCAATTCTGCTATAGCCGATATCTAATTGCATTTTGAGAGGCTAGAAAGAATTGAGAACGCCGGATGCGTCTAGTCTTGTTTCAATGTAACCCAGTATGGCTGAATGCAGCAAGCACTGACTTCATTATCCGATGCATAAGGCATGTTTTGATTATTCTGTTTGCTGCGTTTTCATGCTTTTTTGAAGCGAATACATTTCCTTATTATCGTAAAAAAAAATGAATTCCATTCTATCCTTTGTCGAAATTCTAGTGCACAGCTCCAATATTATTGAGTAATCTGTTGCATATTCTGCTTTTTTTTGTTTTTTCTAGCCGTCTTCTCTCTCGTTTGTTCTCAATCTATTGTAGACGCTCAGAACGGTTGGATTCCCCTCTTCATCAAATCCTCAGAATGGTTGCATTCTCTCGCGTTCATGTATTTCCTTCTTTCTCACTTTATAACATGTTTTCAACTGTATTCTCTCATCTCTCGTTATTTTGTTTCTCCTTATTTTTAAAATTCTCCCTATCAAGGTCTGTAGTCTATCTTTTCCTTGTCATGAATGATGCCTGTTACTCTTCCTTATTTATTTTCTCACCATTCAGTACCTGGGTAATTCAAATCGAAAGATGCTGTGTAAGCGTTCTTCCGATTCTATACGAATCCAAGGAACTTCTAAACGTCGTTCCTTAGCAGAGAGTTGGACTGATATTCCATGGAGACATCGATCCATGAGTACAAAACTTCTGACATTGTCTGCTTCATTCAGGAAAGGTAAGTATAACCCAATGCTCCTTTGGGAAGTAGAACTTTCTTTCCAATTTCATCGGCTATTCAATGTATCATCGTTGTCGTGTGTCAATATGGTTCCTCGGAGACCTTTTCCTCCATCGAATAGACAACTTTTTGACGATTAGTCATGCCTTTGTGCGTTATCATCACTTTATATTATCTCATTGATAGAAATCTTGCGTCCAATCAGTATATTTCTGAAGATGTTTTGTTTTCAATAGGGGGAAGTGGGCGTGATTCAGATGCGGTCGTTCATAGTTACATTTCAATCAAGCTATCATAAATAACTTATATTATTGGTGATTAAATCTTCATCTTCAGTATTTTTTATTCATAGTTGCAAACGGTTGGTTTCATGGGAAGAAATTCTTGGGTACGCGTACAGTCACTGATTTGTTTTCATTAAAAAAGTGTAATAAGAATTAAAGATTCGTTAGCGTGACTCATAAACAGCTGGAAAATATAGAAAAAATCATGTTTGCTGATTTCAAATATTTATTTTTCAGGTATGTTCAGTGAATCTTCAATGGACAGCAATCTCAGCTCTTCTTCATCCAATTTGCTGCGGCTGAGAGCGTCATTAGGACACTCCGATCCACAAATATCTGCTAGCTCTTCTCATTTGCCATCTTCACGGAACACAGTTAGTTACCTTCGCTCTTCTTTTGTGTCTTATCCTCTCCCTCTGGATTTTCCGTTGTTTTGCATATTTTATCACCGGGGCTTTGAAGGGAGACCAGACACCAGTTATAAATTTTCCCTAGATTTTCCTCCCAAGATAGCTTGTAAATTCTTCTCGACCAATGAATAGCTTTGGTTTGAAAGCAAGAGGCAAGTTTTGGGAACAAAAGTTTCATTTCCTCTGCCTTGTGAAAAATAAGCAATCCGACTTAGAGAAAACACTCGAGCCATACAGATTGCAAAAGAAATTGTGTTTATTTGAGTGATTCCTTTCATGTGGTTTGAAGATGAATCCGAAATGTTGAAGCCTTTTTGGAATTATCCGTTTTTTACTCATTATTCCAAGTGTCATTTACGCTCGTTAACGATTGCTGTCCTTTTCACGACGTCGATTATCTTTGCGTTCACTTGCGATACGGGAAAAATACATTCTATTTTAAATGCTAGTATCCAGGCTTAGAGAGAGTCCTCGAAAGATTAGCCTAATTGATTAACATGAGCCTTTAGTAATTGGCTCTCAGCACCCTGAATGGGCGGAGCCTCCTACATAAGGCTTTGCCAGCTAGCACCATTCATCTACTCAATACGGCAACAGCACCTGCTTTCCAGTCGTGCATGAATATTCTTCTCTTCGTTGATTGTATTGATTCCTAAATTACACACTGGATAAATATTCACGTGAGTAGCTCATAAGCTCATATTTAGTATTACCCGCCTCTTAATTCCGGCCTCTTATTTGCTTCTGCGGGCCCTCTTTTCTCATTATCGACTCATTCGATTCAGTAAGACATGGACCAAAGGCAACGGAGATCACGGAGATGTTCACTTCCATTATTACCTGCTATCCCTACTTCACTTACAACCGTCTACGGTGTTAGTACGAGTACTTCGACTCTAGCTAGACCAGTCCAAGGCGTATGGAGAAGACGTCCAAGATATTCCATATGTGCTGCATCAGAAAGCCTTATTGTTCCATCGTTGCTACTTCAAGACTCTCAAAGACGTAGAAGTCCTTCTCGTAATCGTCGCGTGGGGTTAGCTTTCGGCCATTATTCACCACCTATCGTTACCACTCAACAAACTCAATTTTTTTCTACTTCTGAGGAAACAAGACCTCGCAGCGCTATGTTGTATCAACAGCCGGTAGGTCTATTTTGCTCACCTTTGCCGAAAATGACGATCATTATCATGGCAGTCATGTATTTTGCAGAAGAACGAGTATATTTTACCTCTTTAATATTTTGTTTCGGTTAGAGTTGTATTTATTGCCATTTCATAGAGGCGAAAAGGAAATATAAAGTCGCCATCTTTCATGTGGATTCATCGATTTGGTGTTTTACATCATTCGCGGTAAACAGACCCGTGTACATTCCTAATGAAAATCTAATACGTGACATTTAAATTTTCATATGGAATGAATGTGCTTCGGATTAGCTCCCCGTTGACGGTATTATGTGCTTTGTGATCTTCCTCCTGAGAAGCACCCCGTTAGTATTAGTTGTCATCATATGTTAGTATGTTGCTTGGCATTTCTATAAGACAACGAATTATAATCTCTTTTTTCACATAGCAGTTGGGCTTCTAGTATTAGAATGGATGTATAGTTGATGGCGCGAAAAGAGAAAAAATGAAAAACAACCGTTCACCATCTCAGCTGATTCTAAAATGAAAGGAATCAGCTGTGAAAACCTAGCTTAGTGCCTCATTAGCATAAAAAATGCGGCAGTTTAAAAAATGCGATTCTTGCCGAAACTGGTCTAAAGGGAAAAGATCAATAAAAGATTATTATCCATTCTCTTTTCATTAAAGTGCATTTAGCTGTTGAAGCTTGCTGTCCTTAGTTTCTTTAAGTCACTATTGATCAAATTAAGTTCTCTTCGACTGAATGAGCCCAATCGAATTAAATGTCTCCGCTGCCAATTACTTTTTTGAAAAAAACTGCGAAATAGTTTATTAATTTTATTTTTCCTTCTCTTTTTTTGATGATTCTGTTTTGTTCAAACTTGGCTTCTGATCTCATTCGTTCGCATTTACGTCGCGTCTATTCTAGTTCCAAATATTAGTTATTACTTTCGGACGAATATTTGATTCCTATCTTTCACGTGCTTTGAAAGCCTTATGTGTGTTCTCACGATGAACCTTCGTGAGACTAGGACCGCTAACGGAAGGAATACCATGAGGTCTCACATAAGGAAGGAAGGAAGGAGGGATTATTAAAATTTCGATAGAATCGGTCTCATAATCTTAATTGCCTTTTGATCGATGCCTTGTCAACTTCTTACACGCAATCTGCTTTCCAGTTTTAACTTAACGCAAGAAACACGACAAAAACATAGACAGACTGGTTGCCGCGTGATATTTACTCTATTTGTCTTCTTTCATTGTGCTTTGCATTTTTGGAATCGGAAAAGTTTATTGGATACCGATGTTATCTGCCCTTAATCCTCTCTACTACGGCTCTTTTTCTGTTCCGCCGTACAACCCAGCCTTTTATGGCCTTTATGAAGTTATATTATTACTCACTCTGCACAACTATGCCGTATCTTAGCTCATAGCTTTCACGCTCTCAATATCATCTCTAGTACTCCGCTGTTTCAACTACTTGCTGCTTTTAAAAATAAGCTTCTGTCGGGACAAACGGCGATAATTTGTGGGAGGCAGTTGAAGCTGTGGTTCTGGCAGCAACCCTCCGGACCCCCTCGAGATTCACAACGACGACGAGATTTTTTCCAATTCGATATCTTGCTGCTTCTCTACGGACTTCAGTACTCTTCAGCTTCTGTTGTTCCGAATAATCAACTGCAGACTGCTCTTTAATTCTTTGATCTGTTACTTACTAACTAAATTAAGTTTGGCTTACAACAATTCATATCTGCCGTCATGCATTAATTAGCAGCTTTTTTCGTCGGAACTCATTGTCTGCCGTCTTTCTTCTAATCTAATCTCATTAAGGCTCCCCACCTGCCTACTATATTTGGTGGGGTGCTACGTTTATAGCACTAGTCATTTTTTGAAATGTTCAGTTCTAAACCGTCTACAACAGGTGCTGAAGGAAGTCCATGGCACCGTTTCCCGACCATGTTAGCTCGTTTGACTCATAGCAGACGGTCACGGGAACGGGATTACCATCCTATGACAGTCGGGCGATCTATCAGTTGCTTTGTCATGTCGACAGCTTCAGTCATTACACCTTCTGTTTCTACTTGTTGTCTTTCTCCGGTTACTCAATTAAGGGTATGTTCTTGAAGCTGAGGGAATAGGAGTAGAAAAAGTGTTTTAGTGAGAAAAGAGTTATGAAGAAACAATTGCTTTATCTTTTGTTTTCATTAGTATATGACAGATGTCTTCGATCTATGTTCTAGAAAGCGTGATTTGAGCACTTAGCCCTACACACAAACAACTGGGAAGTTTTGATCAAAAATCTATTTCTCAAGTTTTACATTGTGTGAAAACCGGGAGAGTTTCTTAAATTCCATCCAGCGTAATCCTATCTTTGCTTTTCTGTTTCGAGCCTGCATTAGGCTTGTACCGGAAATTGCTATCTCCTCCTTGCCCTCCACATCTCTCTCATTTGAATTTTGGAATCTTACTGACATTGATGGAGAAACGACACTAGTGATATGAATAGTTTTCAATTGTGCATTCTTCTTTCCAGGAATGTTTTCAAAAATTCCATTGCATAACACAAGCTCTAAGATTATGATTATCCAGAAGTTCTTTATGAATTGGCTGAGCATGATGATGAGACAGCACTCTAGCCTTTAACCTCCCCTGGGGAATAATTCCTTTTTTCATGGTCTATTACATTGCCAAAAGCTAGTTGCATCCGGAGAGTTAAAATAGCAAAATATGCCATCTTCCCATTTTCTTCATTAATTTCTCATATACTGTTTGTCTGGCGAGGCAATTCGCTCGACTTCATAAGCTCAACCACCCTCCCCTTTTCCCATCCTAACAAAGACATGCAAAAAAAGGAACATCCAAAGAAGGATTACAGAAAAAAAAACTTTTGGCATTTCTTATAAACTTTTTTTTCCAGAAAGATGTGCAAGCATTAACTCAAACTACAAGATCGAGTGCTGCAAGGAGAAGTCTGAATGCGTCTACATCCCCTTTGCTTGCCCCAAGATGTCGGAGCCCTGCTCGACAACAAGGTGCTTCAACTTCCAGAGCCACAGCACCCGCTGCTGTTCCTTTACGGTAAGTCAGTTGTCTTCTAAGGGAACATTTAAACAATTTAAATGAAGAACTAAAGCGAGTTGACAACGATTGGCATTGTTTTTCAGTTCTTACTCTACACGAAGTGGCAGTTCTCTTATGGCCCCACAACACGACAATCGAAGATGGTCTCTGGCTTCTCTGCCATCAACGAGTGGCTATGGAACGCCCGGAAGTAATTCTGCCTTTTCGGTATTCTTTTATGTTTTTAGGGAGTTGTATAAGCACACATCACAATTTTTAGAGTCAATATTCGTCATCCGAACATTTGTCTGAAGTCTTAGAGTGTATGAGACTGGGTGGACGTTTCGATAGCAACGAGAGTTATCCTTCTGCTGAAGATCCTTCAACAAGTACATATAGACCTCGGAGCCGGAGTTTAACGTATAGGATGAAGTGACTTGATCAAATTTCCAAAAAATGCTCTTTCAGCAGCCCAATAAAGTTTGGAAGTGAAAGTACTGCAAGTGTTGTCAATAGGAGTAGTGTTTATAAGGAGCGTTTTCCGAAGGTTTGTACTTAGACTATAAAGCCTTGTATGGAAATTTAACTAAAGGCGAAACTTCAAATGGAGCAAAGGTTACAAGGTTTCGTTAATGAGAATGCACCGTTGAGCGGAGGAGCTTCCAACGACCTTGAAGCTACTGACCCACGCAATAATCGGAAATCTATGGTGCTGGAAGCTGAGAAAATCACTGACAAGAACCTATTGAGGCTATTAGGAGATGGAGCAACAAGATTCTTACATCATCAGATAGTTGAGGTTAGAGACGAATTGTTTTCCTCTGTTTTTCATTTGTCAATTTGTTCAGATTGCCTCTGATTGTTTAGCTCGTTCTATTGAAGATTCAATTACATGTTCGTATTTCTGTGAAATGAGTCAGAGGTTGGATGAAACACTGAACGAGGCACTTTACTCTTTCTCCTTCCAACTTATGCATTGCTTCCTTTCTAGGCTCAGCAGAAGACTTGTCAAGATTCTTTGACATTTTTATCGAAGCTTGTAAAGCAATTACTAATGATTGTCAGTCGGCCGGCTAGATTATTGGAATGTTTGGTAAGTCAATTACTATATTAGGCGACATTATGAAGCTAATCTATTTAAGGAGTTTGACCCCGATGAATTTTATCATCTTCTTGAAGAAGCTGAAGGAGTTGTTCGTGAGCAATTAGGCAGTGGAACTGCTAGAGTGCCTGATTTGCCTCAATATATCATAGGTGGGATGTTCTACATTCAATGAAATTCTCATACTGCTTGTTCAGGCAAACTGGGCTTAGATCGAGATCCTCTAATGGACATCGAGGCAAGAGCTGAGTCACCTCCTGCTGCTCCTTCAACATCTACGGGTGGAGCTAGCAGCAGTGCATGTAGTGGTAGCACAGTAGCAGGCACAGCGATGAAGAAAGAAGAATCTGGTCCTGCTGCGAAGCATTGGAACGAACAGAGACCACCTCGCGAAGAAGATTTCGAGACAATAAGAGTATGTTTGATGTATGATCGCCCCTTCTATGGTTATTTCTTTCAGTTGGTCAGCAATGGTGCTTACGGAGCTGTATACTTGGTGCGACATCGCGAAACAAGACAACGTTTCGCTCTCAAAAAAATGAACAAACAAACATTACTCTTAAGAAATCAGATAGATCAGGTAAGAGAAAAACAATATTAGAAGCATATTCATGACTTGTCCTTTAAGGTTTTTGCTGAAAGGGATATTTTGACAATGACAGACAATCCATTCGTCGTTTGTTTCTATGGCTCATTTGAGACTAAACATCATCTGTGTATGTTAATGGAGTATGTAGAAGGGGGAGATTGTGCTGCACTTTTGAAAAATGCTGGAACCCTTCCTGTTGATTTGGCGAGGTACTTTTACTTGACATTTGAATTGCAAATCATTCTAATGTTCCCCATGATTCAGGCTTTATGTGGCTGAGACAGTTCTAGCCATCGAATATTTACATTCATATGGAATTGTTCATCGAGACTTGAAACCTGACAAGTGAGTTTCAAAGTTCCGGCTCCAAATCTAATCCTTCGTTTTGTAGTCTTCTCATTACGGCCATGGGTCATATCAAGCTCACCGATTTCGGATTATCCAAAATTGGTCTCATGAGCAGGACTACATTAGTAGCTGAGGGTGTGGATATTGTTGAGACACAACAGTTCAGAGATAAACAGCTATGTGGAACTCCAGAGTAATCGTTACAAGTAGTATATCTTAATGAAGTTCTTCTTCGATTCAGGTACATTGCTCCTGAAGTAATTTTGCGTCAAGGCTACGGAAAACCTGTTGACTTTTGGGCCTTGGGCATCATACTCTACGAGTTTCTTATTGGAACGGTTCCCTTCTCTGGCGAAAGTCCCGAAGAACTCTTTAGTAATGTCATATCAGGTACTACCTTCTTAGCGTTTCTATCATTCATTTTATCTATTGAAGAGGATGTTGAATATCCAGATGGAGATGAAGCTCTTCCTGTAGAAGCTGAAGACCTCATCAGACGCTTGATGGAGAAAAATCCAATGGAGAGATTAGGTAAGAGAAATTATCTTGAGATCTGTTAACCATTGTATTGTAGGAGCTATTGCTGGAGCTTCTCAACTTATGGCTCATTCATTCTTCGATTGTATCGATTTCAACACCATTCTGCGTGAGAAAGCTGAATTCGTTCCTCTTCTTGACAATGAGGAAGACACTAGCTATTTTGACAGTATGATTTATACGGAAATATTATTTGAATGGCTTTCTCTTTCAGCTCGATTGGATCGTTACAATCATGAAGCTGATTCATGTGGAGAAGAAGACTCTTCTCCTATGTTCCATTCCTTCTCTACTGCTAGTCCAAGACACTCCATTGTTGCACTTGATGTTAATCAGTTGCCGATGGCAGCGTCTGTTTCCTCTAGCTATTCTGGAAGTTCTACGGTCCCTCTGGAACCACGTTGTCGAAAGCCTTCTACTGCGACCCAATCAAGCGAAGATCAAACGATGGACAGTGCTGATTTAACTACTGAAGTACCAGTTTCATCTGTCAGTTGTATCAATGTTATTGAGAATCAAAGATTATCTTTATTTAGGCCATGATTTTACGTCGCCAGTTTTCGTCTCAACGAAATGCTAATCTCTCTACCTCATCAAGCGGAACAACAGGCACTGGATGCCAGAATACAGCTTATTCTTCAACAGATAGTAGTATGGATGCTAGCCATGTTAGTATGATTGTTATCCCGGATGCCAGAAAGTATGTTTTCTTTCTCTTTCTCAATATGCTTTGCTTAACCGTACCGCTTCACTCACACATGTTGCTTTATAGATCACCTTTACCTAAATTTGCTATTTCTTGTGATCCTGATGATTCTAGCGAAGCCACTTCGTCGAAATCAGTCAAAGAACTTTCACCTGTTGATGAAACCGTTCGTTTTAGAGTAAGTGACCGATTTGATACAATATACATGATCTTCTTTCTTTCAGAACACTCCCCAAACCCCCCTTCAATTGGTTATTCCTGCTACAGGTGCTACTACTTCGTCTAACTCAAGTAATTCCAAGGATACTTGTTATGTGGTTCGTTTATATCCTATTGTCTATCTATTTTTGTTTATTTAGGTTGCTAGTGGATGTAGTCAACTTTCCCCTGGCGGTGGATCAATGTCTTCTGCTTCATCCGCTGATGGATCACCACATCCGTCTGCTGATCAAATCAGCCCTGCAACAAATTTTTTCAAATGCGTAACCATCAGGTGATCAATGATCTCTATTGAGTTATAATCTCCCGACTGTTTTAGAAAAGGCTCTATGGGTTTCGGCTTCACATTGAAATCTGTTCGAGTTTATCTTGGAGAGCATTCCGATTATTATACGATCGAGCATATTGTCACATCAGTTGTTACAGGTAATATCTTTTTCCATTGTCTACTCGATAATCCTTTCACACATTCATCTGTGTCGAAATATCACATTTCTTGTTCTTCTCATGTTTGATCTCACCACTGAATCAACGGCAGATCTCGGATCCCGTGAACAATAATCTCTAAATATTAGATTTTGTGAAATTCAAATCTTACATTTCGAATTAACTCTCACGTCATTTGTTTTGTAACGCTTTGAATTTCAAAAACGAAGTGGGTCATGCATAATGCTCACGCGGAAATTCATTTTCATTTTTCACGTTGCGCTCGTTGGTTGTTCATCGACCGAATGAGCTCTGTTCATTTTGATTATGCAGATGCTATGGGCCGGTTGCTCTTCCCCAACCTATTATTAATGAAGTGTAGGAGGCGGCTTTCAGAATAAGCTTTTGAAAAATGGCAAAAATGATTGATCTCGCGAATGTCATATATGATGGAAAATATTTTCAAAGTTCTATTCTCTTTTGGAAATTGGATAAAAAATAATTGAATGGATATGTTGAAACGTTTTGCAGTTCTCTCCGATTATATCAGTTGTTTGAATTACGAATACGCTCTCAGTGTGTGCATGAATAGCACATGGATCGTAATTTCATATTCATTGGAAATCCGAGAGAAGAAGGGAAGGAGGGAGTGTGAGGGAGAAATGATGTTTGATGGAAAATAAAAGATTCAATTAAACTAAATATTAGCAATAATGCAATTATAAATGGAATTTTCATTCATCTTTACAATTTTGTCGTTTAGGAAGTCCTGCCTTCGAGGCTGGTCTACGTGGGGATGACATGATCATCCAAGTAAATGGACAATTAGTTCATAACTTGACCCATCCACAATTAATGCATAGGCTTCTGAGTTATGGAAATGAGCTATCCTTAAGGGTTTGTCTATTAATAGTTCATGCATGGACTCATGTTCGGTTTTAAGGTGACACCATTATCATCGACGTCCATAAAGGAAGGAGCTCCAAGAAAAACTGTTGGCAAGATGGCCAAAAAGAAGCCTAAACGACCTCAACGAAGAGTTCCTCTTGAGAAGAAGACTAGGTGGGCATTTGAGCATATTGAACATTCTTGATGCGTTTTTTTCAGAAAACCATCATCTCTGCTTCGGAGACTCAGTGGCAAGAGAGCCACAAATGATATTGTTCCAGGAACATCTAGTCAAAAGCAAACGTTTATTCCAAGGTTTATTAAATATGAATTGCTGAGAACCAGTTATTTTTAGGTCTGTCTCTAGTCAAGATGGTGCTATTCTTAATGGCCCACCTCCAGCCCCTAACCATTCTTTGGCCGCTACTCAACCCCCATCAGCTCCTAGTGCTGCTCCCTCTGTATTGTCCCATAAACGAATGAGTGACGTAGGATTACGAGAAGAGAATCGGTAGGCTATTAGATTAGCCATTATCATGAATATTTATTGATCCTTGCAGTTCTCCTCTAGCTTCTTCAAGACCATCATCTTTACGTGGTCTGAAACAGACAACAGCTCAAACCACCTCTAAAATCCCAACTTCTCCTATTCCTGTGAGTCCTTTAGCTCGTTCCGAAGGACAGCAAGAAAGCACAAGGTAAGAGATTATGCAGAGACTTGAAACATAGTAAGGTTCAGCTTTGGTTTCAGATCTCCGAGCCCATCTGCGGCGAAATTTTCCTCTGGTAGGTCTCTAATGAACCGTATACTCCATAAGGATGACTCCAACTGAGATATTCACGATTGTCTGTATATTGAAAAAAGATGTTGTCATATATATTCATATTAACCATTTCCACATATATATATTCTTTGAGAATTTTTCAAGTCCTTACTAGTTGCTGGTCTCGAAACGACTTCCGTAGAAAGCTTCACAAGTTTGTCACCATTTTGTTACATCGAATCTCTTCTTTTCCCATGTAATATATTATTAACATAATTCTAATCCTAATTAAACTGCTGAAAGTTTATATAATCTTTTAAATTTCCTTACGATCTTTCGCCTGCGGTTTTCCAGTGTGTCCCCCGAGAGAGCTTAACGTTTGCGGGTATGTTTGGTACGGTGACAATGACCATGTTTAATGTAATATATATATAACTGATTGTAAATAAACTATTTCATAATACATATGTGATGTGATAGAAGGTCATCTGATAGGATTCCAATATTTATTTTTCTCAAAAAAGCTAAGAAATAAATATTCGACAGCACTTTATTAGCACATTTACAGAATTAACCGGAAAAACTCGTACTCAGAAAGGGAGGGAGAAAGTGCGCTATACATTTACAATAAAAGATACAAATGAATACAAAGGGAATCTAAGCAATTCTAGTTACTAACTAGTCACAACTTACTTACACTTATTTTATTATTTCGAGAACGGTAATGTACAGTTATTAGTTGCACTATAAAGCGCTCGGCCACGTTTCCGAATTTTGCATGTAATTTGACTTGGGTAAGAAGTTAGAAAGTTGAATCTTGACCGGAAAGCGGAACACCGAGGAAAACGAGCAGTAGCACAGGTTTTATATAAGAAAAAGAGAGAAGAGAAGAGAGAGAATATATATATTTAGATCACAATGGTTGAGCAATAATGAGCAGCAAAAGACGGAGCAGCCGAACCATGCAGTCTTCGGCTGAGCTATGAAAGACACTCTCAAAAAACCCGCTAAAACAGAACGGGAATAGATAGGAAGGTTAGTAGCATATTATATTATAATAATTTCAATTATAATGGGCATAGTACAGAATATAATAATAATTAATAAATTCACAAGTCTTACTCAACAAAATAAGCAGGCAAAATTCTGTGCATAAGTCGTTTACCAGAGGTCTAGATTACGAGTCAACTCTTCCGTTAGACTGTCTAATCCAGAGTAATGGAACATATCAAAATCCCTGTCATCATCAGTTAAATTTAAATTTACAGACGATGATGAAACGGTCGAAAATGGCGATACCTCAGTCATTGGGGTAGAGCCACCAGAAACGTAACCCTGAGATCCAGTCAACGAGGGCCGAACTGGGGTCTTGAAGTCTCCAAACATACCTGAACACAGAGGTAACGGTTTTTGATATCTTTTGTAATGGCTTACTTGACAAAGTGGCTTCAGACAATGGGTTTGGCTTTTCCTCTTTGTCCATGAAGAAGGTTGGGGGCTCCAATGGCCAGCTGGGATGGGGGCGCAAATGGTTTCCTACACTTCGCATGGGTGTAGGACCAAGAGCTGTTACTGCTGACTGGCTTTGTGGGTTGTTCTGTGGCGTCGATGGGCGATTGACAATATCAGCCATTTGGCAGAGATCGGCCATGGCATGGCGCTGAGAAACCTGATTTAGAACCCGATAACCTTTCAATGGCCTAAGCAACTCACTTCAAGAAGTTTGTCGGGCCTAATATAGGCATTAGCACCGGACGAATCAGGATGAATAAACAGACAACGGTTTCCGTATGGACATAGACCACTGGTTGTGTATTTATCGCATAATTTAGTCTTGTACTTGTTGTTCTGCTTTGGTTGAATTCTGGAACTATAGCATTAGTATGATGATGTAAGAATCTGGGTGTACCTTGAGGGTCTAAGCTCAACTTCGCCATGAGCGAATCTGCAGTTCTCACCGAACAGGCATACTTTTGATTCCAACCATGCTTGACACATCACAGTCTTATAACTGTCAGGCTTAGGAGAACGTTTTCCTGACTGACGGTTACTTCTGAAAATGAACAGTTAGTGAAAGACGACAGCATGGGAACTAACGCTGGATGTGGTGGTAAATTCTGTGGCTCGAATGGAAAAACTTCCTGAGATAGAGCAGGCTTGACGAGCTCATTCTCACTTGTAGTTGAGTTATTACTTGAAACTACAGCAGGTTGAGCTGTAACAGAAGCCGTAGTCGTCGTTCCAGCAGATCCAATGGGTGTCGTCGATGCTCCGGACGCACGTACTCTAAACAGTAAGAGATTACTAAAGCATTATAGCCTAAAGGACGGACTGTTCAATTTCTTTCCGTAATTGCGCATTGACTGCAATAAGATTAGCAGCTTGATGGAGAAGATGATTAATCTTAAGCAAAAAAAAAGGTAAAGATGGATGGAAAAGGTCTTACTTGAAAAGAAGGGCTGGGTGGTCCGGAGACTGCCCTCGACTGGGTTCCACTGCCTTGTTGGGGAACGCTGAAGACACCACTATCGTTTGATCCCGATGATAGGGAGGAAGCTGGACGCGCCGAGCTCGCAGTGGATCTGTAGAGTAAAAATAAATGAAACCACACATACAACAACACCAAAAATAGGATTATTGAGTAAACACGTCAGAAGACTAAAAGCTGTTAAAACAACAAATGGTCAAACATGGCAGACGTGTTCAGAGCACCCGAGGTGTACGAAAGACTAACCCGATTGATCCTTCCTGGTACCTGTACATGTTAGAAATGTGTTAGTTATATGAATATAAAAACCAAAACGAACGAACAATCGGCGCCACTACACGGCCTGAAATCCAAGAAATTTTGAAAAATCACAACAACCACGACAATCTTCAGAAAAAATGTGCGCAAAGAAATTAACGAATAAAAGGATTCTGGAATACAATATGTCTCCAGATGTACAGAACAGGCAAGAACACAAACGACATCTTTTCAGAGCCGTGAATAGGAAGGTGCGCGAGCGCGCTCGATCGAAGGAAAGCCAAATAAGGAGAAACTATCAATGAGAGAGTGAGAGAGAAGGATGGATAAAGAAACAGCCGTGACATGGAAGCTTGTGTTTGAAACAGAACATAACAACCAAAAAGCAGCTACAAAAAGTGCAGCGCAGTATCATAGCTGAACAGGATGAGCCAAACTACATTGAAGTTTGAGGGAAAGGGATGGCCCTCTCTCTACAACTACATAATAGATGAAAATCAAAAAGATCACAGACAGAGAGAGAAAGGTCAGTTCAATACATATTCAGGGAAAACGATATAGAGAGGATCAGGCAGTTAACGAATCAGAAGATAAACCAAAAAAACTGGTGAAAAACTGGATTTAAACCTAAACACCAGATGGCAGCACATAATGAACTACAAGCGAAGCGGAATCGAATTTACCGAAGTGAGTCGGCTCAACTAATCGCACAATATTTTCGTCTTCCTTCCAGTGCCATAAATGAAAAAAAATGTCAAAAAGCAGCCAGACACACACAGCAGATCCCCGGCTGATTCACCACGGGAGGAAGAAGAAAGATCATTTCGAGGCGTACAAGCTGGATCAGCCCGAACCTGATTCGGTCGGATTGAAATGCCCACTTTAGGCTGAAACACATCCAACCTGGCCACCCAAACTTACGGTAAGGAAGAACTGAGGGAAAAAGTATATTAAAGGTCGGATCACTTGACGTAGAGCAAGGTGTATATGCATATGTTCCAGAAATTACTAATCGCATACCAAAAAGGGGACATCCAAACGATAAAGATAGCATTCCATGAATGGGAGGAAGAAGGGTGGGGTAGTAAAGGAAGCGAAGGAAATGATTATGACAACATCGTTTAGAAGATGATGAAGCTGCCGTAAGGAAATAAGAGCATATTCATAATAGACGCTATAAAAATGAATCTTAGTAGTAGCACAACGAATAAGGAAATGATGAAGATATAAGGATAAAGCATAGGTCAATGATTGCACCAAAGAAGACCCTCTGATAGGTTTTGGCGCCAATGAGCTATTACATATAAAGTAGATCAAAATAGACATTTCGTAGTTCTTCTCTGATTTTTGTATTTTGGATGAAGGTTTCCAGGTTTGAACTTTCTTTCATCGATTAATATGGAGAACCCATGTTTCAGGAGCTTCTACAGCATCTTCTTTTTCGTTGAGATCGTCGTGAAAAGAAGAAGAAGACGAATCAACGATGGGAACTGAAGAGACTTTGTTGACGATTTCAAGTTTGACGACGATGGCCAATTACGAACGATTATTATGATAAAGTTTGTCTTGTGTTTCTTCCTTTCCATCACCATTTATAGATAGTCTGAGCTTCGATAGACTGACAGCCTCGTGCAGGTTCTGTTCTTACGTCGGCACTTTTAGTCATCTTTTGCTTTTTCAGATTTAATCCTTCAATCCAAATATGGCGTCAATGCCGGACAAGACGAGCTATAGAGTGGAACATCAGCTGAGAAATTTAAGCTGAACAGCGTTGACGAACAGATGATCGTCGATTAAAGGTGAAATGATTTCAGCAGAGGATGAAGACGAAATTAAAACGACATCATAGGCTAGTAATGCAGTTATGGTAGATAACGAAATAATTGTGAAAGGAACTGATGAATCGGCCAATGTGTGCATTAGGATGATAGAGCTGCATGCCAGCTATGATGAAACCAACGGCAAGTGATCCTGATGTTTTAGTGTAATGCAACCAGCTAGGAAGCCTTATATGGTCAGTCAAGAAAAGTTTTCGTGGCAAGTTGTTGATAAAACTTGGTGAAAGAGGTGTCAGATCGTCGTTCTTCTATTCTCAGATGATCAGTAGAGAGAAGGCCGGTGCCGTTCAATGCCCAAGTCACTTTGCCCATAAGACACGTACGAGGAAGAAGAAAGAGATAAAAAAAGAAATTTTGGTTAATTGCCGTCGTCATGGAAAAGAAGGCCAGCTACATCAAATTACTGCATCGTCTGTCTCAGTATATTGTGTTTGAAAATTATTTTTGAGGCAACGAAAAAAATATTTTTCAGTTGCTATCGGAAGAAGTTCAATTGATATTTGGGAAATCCGAAAATGGAAAATTAACCAAATCAAACAAGCAGTATATGGACGTCGTTTATCAAAATTTCTGTGTTGGACTGGACGACTAATCGAAGATGGCATTCAAAATTTCAAGTTTTTTCTATCAAATACACAATGCTAATGAATTTTTGAAGGAAAAAATGATTTTGGGATAGATGATGATGAGGCAAAGCTCTGCTCATTGGCACACTGTCTTTATCTTCTCAGAACCGCCTTCGCACCTCTAGAAGGAGTAGCTGGAAGACAAGCAGAGGCATGTGATAAAGATGAAGGAGGGTGGGAGGAGGAGACGGGAAGTTATCTTGTTGTAATTTCTCTCGTGATGATTGAGTTTTTTAGGTGAAAATAAACGTTTTTGAAAAGGAAACTTGAAAAAAGGGAAAAGTAAGTGAAGAAACGACAGAAAGGAATCAGATGATGAAGTAATTGGCCATTGGTTGTTAGAAGAGGGCAAAAAAAGGTAAGAAAGTGATATTTCCCTTTATGGAGGTTCTTCTTCTTCACACCATTCAAAGGGCAGAGAATGTTTGAGTAGGAGGATTGAACGAAGACATAGAGAGAGAGAGAGAGAGTGAGAGAGTGAGAGACAGTGTGGACTAGTTGAGGAGAGTGCTATACAGAGAGAGATCCTCAGTTTATTTTGTAATTTTTTGGGGGAAAACTTGATAAATTTGAATCGTTCAAAAAGCATTTTCAATCTTAAATGATTTTTGAAGAGAGAGAGACAGAGAGAGAGATAGAGAGTATGGATTGATTTGGGATGAAATCCAGTAATTGTATGAATTGCCAGAAGAAGAAGAAGAAGAATAAGAAGAAGAAGAGAAACAAGATAAGTACACAAAACGAATTTTGTTCGGCAAGTGGTCGAACTGTCTATGTTTCACTACCTCCATATGAAAAGAGAGAAATACAATTGCATAGAAAAACAATATGAATTGAAGAGAGCAGATGAGACAAAACTGGACGCAAAAACGAAATCGCGTCGGGTGGTTTCTGGCCCAACTAGAAAAGCGTATCATGAGAATCCGGGAAAATAGACGAACCAAACGATTGTCTTTCATCTTCGTCGTTGTCGTTGTTGTCGTTCCTTTCAGCTTTTTTTATGTTGTATTGCTTACTTTTTTCATGAAACTCTCAACATCAATATTCTCTGCGTAGCGTATTTCAACTCCGCAAGTCAAAGATGGTATGTGAGTTGAAAAAAATGTTTTTTGTGCCTCTCTCTCTCTCTCTATCTCTGTCTTTCTCTCTTTCTATCTGTAATCTGCTGCCAATCTTCGACCAATTTGCCCGTAAAGCAGATGATGATGACAACGGGTCTCGTTCGTCCATCTGAAAACGGCCATGGCGGCGACCAGCGGTCTAACAATGCAATTTTTTGTTGGGAAGCAAGAAGGTTTTCACGTCTACGCTAACCGCATGAAGGAAGATGTTCATAGAGAGAGAGGGGAAGACGTGCTATAATCAGGAGGTAAGCAGAAGAAAAAACAAACAAATGTGTGAACATGAAAGGTGAGGAAGAACGGCAGAACGGTTGGAATGGGCGACGTATAGGAATGTTTCGGAGAATCATCAGAATAATCAATGAGAAAAAGAAAAGCTCAGCAAAAATGTTGTTGTGATTGTGATTAGAGCGATAAATGACAAAAAGCTGATTAAGAAAAGCAATTTTCAGCTACTTGAAGATTAAGCTTGTAACGTCATCTTCATGGATTTCCGCTTCGATGCCATCACATCACATTAAATCTTCAACAAATTAATCTGAATAAACGGCCATATTAGGATTAAAAGGAACATTAGGAGAAGCTCAAGGTTAAGCATGAACATATCTATACATATAATATATTTTTTTTTGCTTTCGTTTCTGCTTCAATCACAAATCAGTTTTCAACGAACCAGCAACTACGTCATGTTACGAGTATTCACGTCGCATCAGCTGAGTAGACATTGCAAAAGCAAAAATTTGTTTTTTTTATTTCTTTTTACAACCTTTTATGTGAATTTGAATTTTGAAAATCCATAATCATCACAAATCATATTCAGAGTATGTGGTAAGTTAAGGTTACAAGAGAGTGAGAGAGAGGGAGAGAGAGAGAGAAGATGGAGATCGAAGGGGGACTAAGAGAGGAATAATAAGATTAAAAGCTTATCGAAAACACGGAAACGAGACAAAAAAAACAAGATATCATGGAAACAGCTGATCATCTCATACATCAAGAGGGTTAGGTTGATAAAGTATATAAGAAAGAATAGAATCTGACTAGAGTATAGACAATCAGAGATAAAGGGAGGTGATAATGACCTTTGGTTCGTTTTATCCATTTTTTTCTCTTCTTATAATAAATCTTATTTCAATTGATAATCAATAGTGATGTGAGTTGTGAATAAAAGAGGAAAAATAAGAAAAAAATCCAAAGAGAATGAGAAAAGTTGGGAGATGAAGCTTACAAGATAAATGCTATGAGGAGACTCATGTTGAAAGTGAAGGAAAAAATAAAAATTAACCTCCCTCACACACTCTCTCTCTCATTTACATTATCTCTCTCTCTCTATGCGAAACCTTATGTACGCCTTTCTTAAGGCAAGAAACATTACAAGTCATTCAAGCTGCGAATTAGATAATCAGAAAGAGAATTTTCATGTAATAAAACGAGAGAAATGACATTTTCACTCCGGTTTTGCGTTGGTTGGTCAGTTAAGATGAAACATATGAGACAAGTCTGCACCCGTTCGAGGGAGATGAACAGTTTATGAATAGAAATGAATGGATTGAGAAGCTTCATCATTAAGCTTAAAACTATAAAAGGGAGTGATGAAATCATCTTCAACATGTTTAGATAATCTGTCTATTAATAGACATTGAATAGACATACACATAGATAGCATAGTATAGTTAGTATATATGAAAGAATATCAATGTTCGGCTATTCAGACTTATCCACCCCCTCTTCTCCTCATCTACATCATTCTTCGCATACAAACATACCAAGCAACAGCCTCATTTGCATGTTTTCATATTCTCACGTAGGACAGCTTTACGTGAAATCATCGCCATGCACTATCGACTTCATTCTCAGATCTGCAAATGCAGTACACGGTTGCATTCATTCAAATCTCTCCTCATCCCCCATATCGCAGCACTAAGTGTGAGATTTACATTTTTTTTCACTCTCTATTCATAAAAATTGAAAAAAAGAAACATATTTCAACAAAAAAGTTTGATTCTGACCAAAACTGGTCGGAACATCTCCTCTCATCCACCCCCAACCCCTCGTCTCTCACTCTATGTTGTCCTCATCTTGAGCCTGTTCATATCTCTCTAGCATCCTCGCATGATCATTCTCTCTCATTGTCCTGAGGCTATTTGAATGTTAAAAAATAAAATAAAAAAACAAAAAGAGGAATGCAAATGAAGAACATAAAAATAATATTGTTCAGTTAGAACAAAACGGTTTTTTGATCGACAAGATGATACATTGAATTCCAAATGACGTTACCCCCCCTAGGCCTACCAACCCCTTCACCGACGTGCGTGCTGATGAAACCAAAAAAGGAGAAAATAAAAAGAATCAAAAACTTGATTTTTCAATGTTGTGGCCAATGAAGTAAAAGCTTATTCTCTCAAATTGTTCGTTTTTTGATTCATTCGCTTATGCGCTTCACACCATTTAAGCATTTGAGAGATCAAGATGGTCAATCAGGAGCTTTCAATTTCATATTTTCATATTCGTTTACATCGTCATTGCTTGTGTTGAAAAGGATTTTTCAAACTTTATTTTTTTGAATGAAATGATGTTGAGACAAGCAAAACAGGATTGGATGAGACTATACAAATACATTCCTTGGTTACTTGAAAAGTTCTTTTTTTTATATTTCAAGAAGAAACAGAGATATAATGAGAGGTGAGAAGATGTTATTGTGTTGTATAAGAGGTTTCTGATAAGCTTACATGTTATAGAGAGAGTGAGTGAGAGAAGAAGAGAAAGAGTGAGAGAGACATGTTAATGAAGGAAACAGAGGAATGAAGATAACGGATGACATAAAACTCAGATAGAGAAGGATTCAACTGCATAACTGTGAGAGGAGTTACGTAAAGCAGAGAAATAGAGAGAGAGAGAGAGAGTAGTAGTAGTAGAAAGAGTGAGGGGGGACCAAAAGTATTTGAAATGAACCTCAAGATTACAGTCCAAGTTGAGAAACAGACTCATAATAGACGGAACTAATTAACATTCAACGAATATCAAAAGAGGAGATCGAAATAGAGAGGAAGAGAGAGAGGGAAATAGAAAAAAAAGATTATTTTGTGATCAGGGAGAGAAGAAAGAGGAACAAGCATTAACTGTCTACAACAACCAGCTAAAAGTCACGTTGTAGAAGCCTTCTCTTAGCCAAAAAGGCTGAAGTGGAAGAAGAGAGAGAGAGAAAGAGACAGAGGGGATAGAACGACACGTTCATGGGGAGGATGACGATCAAGTCTCATCTCATCCTTTCTTACTCTGCTAACCATTCATTTCGTCTCTTCATATCTTCTAAAGAAAAACCTTTTTGAGATACATGTGAGGGCCAAGAGTTCCGTCCAAGTGTGTGAAAGGGAAACCGGTCAATACCAAGTTAAAAGGTGGATGAATGATCAGAAACTTATGAAAATAAAATAAAACCACATATTCCTTTTATAAAATAGAAGAAAGGAGTCATTTCTTGAAAATTGTTGGAAGATTGCCTTCTTTAGAACATCTCTTTCTCTCTCTCTCTCTGTGTGTTTCACTTCCTATCTCCTTCTCATTACATCAATGCTCTATCCATCCTTCTTCTCTCTCTCTCTGACCGGCTTTCATCAATTACGATAATCTTGAAAAAGAAGAAATTTGCATATTTCAATTGTCATCTCAAAGAAGTTACAAAAAGCTGTTTTGAAATGTCATTTCAACACATAGCTGATGAAACACAAAAAAAAAAGGAAAGCAACGAAAACTGACTGGAAAGGTCGGCATTTTTCAAAATAAATTCAGAATCGTTTGGCGCCAATATGAATCTGTCCTTCGTTGTCATTCTTTCAGCTGACCATCAGCCAACTCTTTCACTCTCTATCTCTCTCACATTATTCCTCTTTTAACTTTGTCTCTAGAGCTCTATCATTTCGAATTTTTTTCTCTTCTTTCTTTGTTACCATAAAAGGGATGGAGGATAGTGGGGGGATAGATTGGGAAGTTCTATGTAAACGTGCTTTCTATTTTCAATATTAAATAAATGAACAAAAACAATCATTGTTTCTATTATGTGAAGCATGCTGTACGATTCGTGAGTCCACGTGGATACGTGAAGATGTTCCATGCATTCTCATTCGTAGATATGCTTGGGCGCGAAACGGTTGCACTTTCACCTCCAATCGTTCTTTTTTAATCTTTCTACCCTCCATTCCATCTCTCTCTATCTTTCGATATTCCTCTCTCTCTATTCGAGTCTATCGTTTCTTTTCACTCTCTCTATCTATCTATCACTATCGACATCTGCCTGTAAAGTTGAATAAAGGCAAATGAAGAAGAAGACGATGTTAACCGCGATACATCTGATCACTTTGACTGGATCTGTTTCTTTTTCTCTTTTTAATGAAGAAAGAGAATTAAAATCTACATATAAGGCCTTATTAACAATGGTCAAGAAGAGATAGACATTTCGATAAAGCATTTTTCATTTAAATACCTTTGTTCAGCTTTTCAAACGAGATATAATGTGGATGAGAGAGAGTAGCTAGAGAAAGAGATGAAAATGAATAAAGGAAGATAGAGAGAGACATAAAGAGAGAGAGTAAGAGAGACCTTTTATATGGATGAAATGTATTTTCGAGATAAAAATAAGCTTGAAAATGCGAAAAAGAAAAACAAGTTCCAAGTCCATTTGAACTTTTAAGATTCAATCAATCTTTTTTTATTTCATGTTCCTACCTCACCTCTCTCTCTCTCTCATCCTCTGCAGCTGTTTTTCCTCTGTTATGCACCTCCTCACCTCAATATTTATTGAAATGAAAATGTTTTTTATATTATTTGAAAAGTAAAGAATGTAATATCCATCATATGAACTTTTGAATCAAAATGATAGTCGTTCATGCATCCCAGAGGCTTCTCTTTCAATGCGTGTAGAAGATCTCTAGTGTGTCTATGTCTGTGTATGTGTGTGTGTGTGTGTGGAAAATCGGAAAAGCCGATTCGAGTTTTCGGGATGGGGCAGCCCTTGCAAACAATAGAATGCCCTCATTGTATTTGATTAAATATAAAAGATATTTTAATAAAAATTACAGAAACAAGTGCATTTCCAATGTTTAGAACCCGGAAACATGAGAGTCTTGACGTTGGATAGAGGAAGCAATACGGAGGTGATGATTACTCAACGAGACATGCACACACGCACAATATAGCGAATGGACAACGAAACATTTGAATTCATAAAGCAGATTGTCCAAATAAGGAAATCAGCTGATGTTTATAAACAATATCTTATCAAGGAAATATTGAGGGAAAACATTCGGATGTTTATTAATAAAAAAAAGTGAGAGAATTATTTTTTGAACCTCAAAAGAGCAAAGGTGAGATGAGAAGGTAAGTGTGTGAATGAGTAAGAGAGTATGAGAGAGTGAGGAAGTAAAGATGAGTTCGAAGGTAAAGGCCAAGTGACCCTCCTGTCTCCTTTTTCTCAATCAAATAGTTAACAGTTCAAAAAACGGTTGAAACAAGGATATGATTCTTTGAATTAGAAAAGCAAAAAAAAAGAGATCGAAAAGCGACAAAATATTTCCGAATGATAAGTAAAAGCTCAATGATGATGGACACACCGCAAAGGGTGGAATGTCCAAAAATGGCCAAATATGTATGATCCTCGCCTGCTTGTATGATCAGGTGGGTGAATTGTGCAAAAAAAAGAGTGAAAAAGAGTAAAATATCTTTAAATGGGGGATAAGACAGTTGTATAAACATTCAAAACGAATTCCTAATATGGAAAGAACTGACCAAACTCATGATTAATTCAAAAACGATGACTGACCATTTGTTAATAATAAAATAAAAGTTTAAATAAAGGTTATTAGTGAGTGTATATAAGGTAAATAAACATCTAATTATAGTTATTTATACAAATACAAAGTTATAATAATCTATTATACAGTTATAGTTATACACCGCACACATCAAATTCGCTCATTTTCGCGATCCAACCGATTTCTGAACCGAAATTTTCATCGATAAGACGAGAAAATCAGGTATTTTTTCACATTTTCCTATCATTTCAGAGTAAAAAAGGAATCGGATCGTAGTTCCATTCAACTCTTTCTATGATACAAACCAACAAAAAAAAAAAGAAGAAAATTTGACATGAAAATGCTATTTGGCATGCAGAGGATGAGGCATGCTCTGGAGCCTCATCCTCACAGCCCGCAGCAGATGCACGAAATGTGAACGAAGCAGGAGGTGTGTGTGTGTGTGTTTTTTGAAAGGAAACGAATGGAGAATGAATAAAAAAAGCGGAAGAAAAGGAAAGAAATTAAGAAATTGATTAGCTAAACGAAGAATTATCAGTTGTAGAGGGGGGGTCAAGCAAGCTTTTATCAAAAGCGAAAAGGAAGAAAACAGTTGACAATATTGACCAAAAAGGATGGACAGATGTGCTGTGTGTTGGTGATGAAGAAAACTTCGAACGATAAAGCTGACGAAAGGAATATGAAGGAAAGAAGAGGAAACAAGGATAATAATAAGTTTTATGAATCAGACAGTTATTAGAAAGGGAAAGCGACACAAAAGAGAACAAGTGAAACTTTTGTACTAGTAACCAATTTCTTTTTCTCTATATCAACTTCCATATGCGAAGATGACGAAAGAGAAAGCCAGATGGAGAGAAAGCCGGGATGAAAATCGCTTTCTGTGCTAAAACCTGGACAGGTTTAAGGATTTTTTGGAGATGACCCCTAGGAACAGGTTGCGAAGTGCGAAGACCCTTTAAGTTCTTCCCTTAACGACGTTCAGATCTGATCGTATATCGTGCATGAGGAATAGCCTCCGCTATATCTTCAATATGTTTCACATCTTAAAGGACAAAATCGTTGAATGTAAAACAGACAAAAAATGCTTCATCATCGAACCTGTGTCGTTTCCCTTTCAGATGAAAAAAAAGTGAGAGGGAAGCAAAATCTCTGAGATTTGGGTTAATTGGAATCGCATTGAGCTCAATTGACGTATTCTCATCTAAATCAATTTCATATAACCAAATGATCTGTGTGTGTATGTGCTTGTGTGAGTGTAAAAGCAAAGTTAAAAGATTGAAGAAGCTTCTTTACTCTCCCGAATTTTTACACCTTATAGACTATCATATGCACTCTGTTTACCAGCGTACACATGTAAAATACACTCTATGAGCCATGGAACTTCTTCATTGCATCAAGCTATACTCATTATGTAATTTTTCTATTTAAAGTTATATTTAATACAAGCAATGTTATTGCTCTGTCTATCCATATTATTGTTCGTTGTTTAAGGTAAAAATGGGAGCTGGACAATCACAAGCGACTACCCCGATTGCACCGCCTGTCCAAGTAAGTGCTAATTTGCGGAAAACGGTCCTTCTAATTATTTTTCATTTGTTATATTATTATAATTTCTAACAAAAAACGTAACACACTCCTACATGCTTCATTTAACATTCTTTTTTCTTTTTAAACAACCGTTCACTGCGTGAGCACCAATCAAAATGAAAACTGCTTTCACGTGCTCGTGACGTGAAATTTGAATTTTGAACGTAACTGATTCTTAGTTTTACTTTCGATAGTCACTGCTTGTCTATCTTATCATACATTCCCGTTCCTTTTTTTCCCTCGAAAGCCTTTGTCCGATACGAAAATATATTGATAAATAACATTTTTTTCATTATAGGAGATTCCTGATGGGGAACGAATCAAAAACGCACGACGCAACATAGCTCAAATCAGTGCTAATGGTTGGTACTATTAATCATTGCTTAATCATTTATCTCATTTTTAGCTTCCGAGTGCCCTTCCGCCGGTGGAGGATCTTACTCGGAATGCCCATCAGCAGGAGGAAATGCTGCTGGATGCCCAGTAGGAAAAGAAAATCTAAATCCATTAAATAACGTATGTTATTTTGTTTGTAACTCATTTAGAAAGCTTTCAAGTTTATAGGAGTTAGAGCATCCTAATCAAAAACCTGCGCCTGATCAGCCTTTCCCATTACCAACAAACAGAGAAAAATCAACTATTCCTAAAGTGAGAACTTGCTTATTTTTGTTTTTGTGTACTATCGTGTTTGTCAGGCCTCAGCTGATAATGAAACTTGGACATACCCAAGTCCGCAGATGTTTTGGAATGCCATGTTAAAGTATGTTAAGATGTTGATTTGTAAGACGGTTCTCTTTCTTCAGAAAAGGCTGGAGATGGCAGGATGATCAGCTATCGGAGAAAGATATGCTTAACATTATCAGGTTTCGTATCATCGAATGATCCTTTTGAAGTTTTTTTGTTCTCAGGATACACAATGCTAATAACGAAGAAGCCTGGAGAGAAGTAATGAAATGGGAAAATCTTCTTCATCCGTACGTGTAGTGGACATGACAGTTTGTAACTGTTTTGATTTTCAGTGAATGCTCAGCACCAAAACTTAAAAGCTTTAAAGGAGATGCCAAGAATTTCTCACCCAGAGCTCGTATGCGTAAACTATTAGGATATGAGTATCCTTTCGATAGACATGATTGGATTGTTGATAGATGTGGCACAGAGGTTTGTTTTCGTGAATTTCAAAAGTTCTGTTCTGAAAGTCGGATTTAAGGTACAATACGTGATTGATTATTATGATGGAGGAGCAGTAGACCCAGATTCAAAGTTGTTCACTCATCTCGATGTACGACCAGCTATGAACAGACCACAAAATATTTGGGATAGGATGGTAATTGAATTCTAAATCTGTTTTTCATTTAATCATTGAACATGTTATAGGTTGTTGCATATTGGAGATTCAAATTTGAGACTTTGGGTATGACACCAAGCCTTCCCATTCCTCCAGTAGAAGGCGGAGCAGAAGCTCATCACAAATGAGATTGTTGTGTTAAGAGATTTCTTATAATAATTGCTTTAGAAGTTATAATCAATGAAAGTTTTTTTTGTTTTTCAACGGATCCCCGTGTTACTGTTTGTCATTATTAATCTGACGTCGTCCTAGTTAGGTAGTTCATCATGATATTCGTTAGGAAGTAATAGCAAATAGATTTGTTTTATGGTTTCACCTTGTTTCTTGCGTTTTGTTGAAAATGATCGTTACCAAATAAAGATTCTAGATCTTAGAAACGAGTTACTTCAAACATCCATGTTATTGATCATAAGTATATCTTTCATCAAGCGAATTCAGCTGCAACATCCGGTTCTCAGACATGTCTATCCTTCTCAAATCACTCACAAGGTTCAACTTGGCTTCTCCTCATCTCACCAAAAGTTTCTCTTATGTACGAAGCCAATATCAGCTTATGTTTGTTCATAGCTGATTAAAAATCATTCATATCTCTTTTCCAGAACTGTACCTACGAGAACTTTTGGTTCAAACTTCTCGCACATCAATGATACTCAGAGAAAGAGAATAGGATGGTGGCTTATTGGGTGTGCCGGTATGTGCTATGGAGCTGTTGCTCTCGGAGGCTTAACCAGGTGAGCACTTCATAGGTGTCATGTTTTTACGAGAAGAATATTTCAGATTAACTGAGAGTGGGTTGAGCATGGTCAACTGGGATCTGTTCAAAACTATGAAACCACCATTCAATCAGAAAGAATGGGAGTTCGAATTCGAACGATACAAGCAGTTCCCAGAGTTCAAACAGTTAGTTTCCTACTATGTTGCATAGGCTTAAAAACTTGATTATAGTAAATCTTCTTCTGAAGAAATGACACTGAATCAGTTCAAGTTCATTTGGACCATGGAGTATCTTCATCGTATGTGGGGAAGAACCATAGGTTTGGTAAGTTTTCAAAACATCATGTTCTGCTTTCATTCTCTGCTTTAGGCTTTTTTGATTCCTTGTGCCTATTTCTGGGCTAGAGGTCGTTTCAACACCGGTATGAAAGTTAGAATGACTGCCTGTACTGCTCTACTGCTCACTCAGGTAAGACTCGCTGCACAATGTGTTTCATAATGAAGTCTTATAGGGAGGAGTAGGTTGGTGGATGGTTAAGTCAGGTTTAGACCCCTCCAACAATTCCGAATCGAGCATCCCTCGTGTTTCACAATATCGTCTAGCCACTCATCTTTCTTTGGCTTTCATTCTTTATTCTCTCTTTTTCTATAATGGACTCCAACACTTGTTGAAACCTGTTGATGTAAGTAGACATCAAAATACCACCTATTCATAATCATCAATTGCAGCTCAGTCCTGTTCATAAATTAGGAAAAATGAGAGGGCTAGCTCATTCCTCTAAAGGTCTCGTCTTCATCACTGCTTTCATGGGTAAGTCTTGAGAACGTTTGCTTGTATCTCGTACTGTTCAGGTGCTTTTGTTGCTGGTTTGGATGCTGGTTTAGTTTATAACTCTTGGCCTAAGTTTGCCGATAAATGGATTCCGGAGAACATGCTTTCTCGCTCCCCTGCTTGGAAAAACTTTTTTGAGAACGATGTGACAGTACAGTTCATTCATAGAAATTTGGTATGCAATTGATCCGTTTATCTGAAACTGAACCATCTTACAGGCTTACTTAACATTGCTATCCATCACAGCTACTTGGATAGCTGGTCGTCGAGCGAACTTACCTCGTCGGGCTAGAATCGCTTTGAATTGTACATTAGGAATGGCTTACACACAGGCTGCATTAGGAATTAGTACTTTGGTAAGTGTGGACTCGAAATCCTGTGATTAACGTTTTTTGTAGGTGATGTACGTTCCTGTATGGTTGGCTGCTCTTCATCAAAGTGGATCTATGGCATTAGTTTCATTCTCTTTGTGGTTAACGAAGGAATTAAAGCGACTTCCAAAGTAAGTTGTTTAGTCTAGAAAGTTTTATAGTTGTACAGGTATTGAAAGACATTAGCTAGTTTGCCCCACTTGTTATTAGCTTGTTGATTATTGTTGGAAAATACAAATTGTTATAATAAATTATTAAATCATTAATGACGTGTTCGATCATCGCGTTCACCAAAGCACAACCGTTCAGCACATTCGCAAGAATCAAAATAAGACTGAAATGGGCGTGTTCTTGAATGACGTAATCCACGTATTTCACGTGAAAACATTAAGTGAAAACCATCTTTTGTATTTATGTTAAGGGCAATGTAAGGAGGCTTCCGTATGAAGAAAAGGAGAAAGGAGGATTTGCGATTCACCTACTAACCTGATGTTCCAATGAATTGCAATTATGGTATTTATGAGATTTTAACTCTCTCTCTGCATTGATGACGCCATTGTGATTCGAAATACTTTGGATTTTGTATTGAAAAGTTGTGTAGGAGGATTTAGTTTTTGGGGTGGATGAGAAAAAAAAGATAGAATTCACAGTAAAATCTCTTTTTTCAGTTCTCCCATTTGAGTTATTTCCTCATTCAACGTTTATATATATGTTTTGTGATAAAGTAACGTCCTCTTGTCTTCATCATTAGTTCATCTCTTCCATCACTTCAGATGCACAATGTCATTCTTATCATATTCTTGTGTTGCTCTCATTTCGTTGTTGCAGAAGATGCTGATACTGATTTGGTAATACTTATTTTCATTTTGCTACTGTAACTTCCTTCTTTAGATTGATTTTGGCGATCCCAATTTGGATCTCTCCAGCACAACAACAACCACAACAACAACAACAACAACAACAACAACTGCTGCAGCTTCAGTAGAAGTAGTTGATTGTAATCAAGTATCAGAACGTTCATCTGAATAATATATTCATACTATTTGAGATTGCACCATCATGGCTTGCATGGAGTGATTGGACAGCCTGCTCTGATCAATGTGGCTCATGTGGAATTCATATGAGAACAAGAGCCTGCTTAACAACTCATTCTCAGTGTAGTACATGCATAGGGTGAAAAACATTTTTTATTTTAACATTAAAACCTACAATATTATTTCCTTGTAGTTAGAACTTAGTATTTTCGTTTCAGGGAAGCCACCCTGATTGAGCACTGCAATTTGGAAATATGTCGTTATCCCCGGGCAACCTGTTGTAACAATTTGAAGGTACTTTTTTCTTTGCTAAGGGGTCGTTAAGAAAGCAAGTAAGAGGCAAAATGAATGAAATTGAGAGACTGATTGTTTCGGTGAGAGAGATACAGAGAGAGAATGAGCGAGAGAGAGTGAGCGAGTAAGGTTACCTGTACACAGGTCACCACCACCTCATCCATCTCGTTGATCGTTTTAAAATGAAACAAAAAAAAAGAAAAAAATAAGTATTCACAGTAAACATTGAGATTATCGATTAATCATATTATTGAATTCATACTCTTGACTTATAGGTTCAATCATTGAAAGGACGCTTTGCCTGTCTAGCTGAACGAGCAACTACCATCACCTGAATGGGATGGATGAGCTGAAGTCTTCAGAGAAAAAATGTTTTTTTCGTTGTTTTCAATCCTCATCATCACAAGACGAGCTTCATCATATATCTTTGTGATTTACAAGAGTTTTCATTAAATGTTTATTAAGGAATGGAAAAATAAAAAAAGATAAGTGAAGAAGTGGAGATCAATGTAGAATTCATCAGAAGACGTAGAGAATCACAAGAATAACATTAAAATCGCTCAACGACAACATTTGAATTCACAACTTCACCACTTTCATCGAAACTTGCACGTCCACTGTCCGGGGTGACGTCATCACTCTCAATAATTTCATTTTTTTCTTCATCCAGAAGGGCTCGTTCTTCTAGTAAACGTCGAAGAATACTTGAATTATCGAATGCTGTAATGGCATCAGCCGGTCGTGGCGGAGGGTTAGCCTTCAAGAACGAAAAGTAATTTTATTCAAATTATCATAAAAATACCTTTAGAAGACGGGAATTGTCGATGCTGTTAATTCGAATTACCGTCACATGCGAGGGAATTTCGCTTTTTGCGCTCATTTCATTTCCATTTTTCATTTCTTTCACTTGATTGGGACGTAACTTTGATGACAAACGACGTAAAGCTTGCAATGGACCTGTATATAGGCTAATAAGGTTATGCTGATATGGCATAGTTAACACCTGAGTTGGCCTTTGATTCAGCGTTCGCTATGAAACGCTTTGTTAAGATTTTGTGAATAACACTCTGCCACATGTCTTCTGGCGATTCTTGGAAGACCGGATTACCATTTATGAAGACTCGACCTTCAGGAGTATATCTGTAAGATTTTAAGTTCGCATATACTTTGTTAATGCTATTACGTTCGACTGTCTTTCTTATGACGTTCAGCGTACAATGAACTCTGACGAGCTGCTCCATAGAATTCCACGGAGTCTGAACCTCCGTTCATCATTCCAATCATTTCGAATCTGAAAATATGTGATGATTGAGAAATTGGTGACATGAATGGTTGTAAAAGAAACTGAAAGAGGTAAACACTCTTTGAAAAGTACAAGAAATGGAACTCAATTGCCTGCTGAGAAATGTGCTGATGAACGTCAGGCGGCCATCAGACGAGAACTCATGCAAAGGCTCATAAAGATGATTGATGATGCTTATGGAAGACAAACAAGAAGCGAAACACACAAGAACTGTGAAATGGTCCTCCTTATATATTCTTTTAACTTAATCTATTCGGCTTCAATTAAGATATTTGCCAAATGACGGCTACTTCCGTAACGCTCCGCCCAACTACTCCTGAGCCAATTTGACCATTAACGGAAGGGATGTCCGATTTGTAATTCAAAAAACACATTATTCAGCAATAGCATCTCAGTTGCACTTACAGTTGCACAAATCTATGATTTAGCGACTTTAGTGTGGAAAGTGATACAAAAATCAAAATAAAATAAAAAATTAGTCATGCACATCCATATTTGGATGTAAAACGAAGATCAGTGGTGGGCGAGAACACGAGGGCGGAGGAAGAAGTTTGTTTTCACGAAAGTTTTTTAATAAAAATCTTTTATTTGGAGAGTATTGATAGAAAAATCATTAAGATAGAGAAACGATGGTGTAGAGGGGGGGGGGAGAACGGATTGTTTCTTCACAAAACGGGAAAACGAAAGAAATAGAGAAGAGATAGAGAGAGACGGTAAGATGGATAGACTGTAACGAGAGAAGGAGGAAGCGAGAGAGAAGAATAATTAACTGGATGATAATTAAAAGAATTATAAAAAAAAAGGTTTTGAAAACTATTTGCGAATCTCTGGCTTCCTCACAGACTCTCGGTCACATAGCCTTCTGACTGATAGACTAGCCTACGTCTCTTCACGTATGTCCATGGTGATAGCCCTACCGCTCGTCCATCTCAGTCTCTCTCTGTGTGTGTGTGTGTGTTCGCTATCACTCTCTCGCAACTTCTAAAGAAGCAAAAATCATGGAAAAGGTTCAGGAGGCTATGAACGATAAATAAAAAAAATAATTAGAATAAAGATAGAAATGATAAATCATTGAAAGATTTGTTCTTCTTTAGCGAACAAAAGGCTGTCGTCGTCCAATCAAAACGATCTTTTCTGACGTCGCCAAGTTGTTGTTCGTCATTTTCTGAAGAAGAAATCTTTTTTTTTCTTCCAAATTATTTCGTCAAATGACTCATTTTTCAATTTTCATTTAATTTTGCAGAGAGAGAGAGAGAGTATAAGAGAGAGAGAGAGTATAGAGACAGTATAGAGAGATTCTTATTTTTTTTTAAACCCACTAACCATTTTCTCTCTCTCTTTCTCTCTCTATTTTACAAAACCTTCAAACATCATCTGGGGTGTGACGTCATGGATGACGTCCCAATTATGGCAACAAAGCAACTCCCTTAACCCATCTAACACGCCCGTCAACATCTCGACCATACTACCTGTACATACATCAATCTTATAAGATATATATGTTGTATGTGATTATTGATTGGACATATCGTTGATAATATTGATTTTTTTTTCATTTTATCTCTCTATATAAGGATTTGCACGTTATTGTTGTTGTTTGCTATATCATGACCATCAATACGCATTACAGAATGAGAGTTGTTGAGTTGTCTAGACAAGCTAGGCACGTGCATCACTTGACCATTATCTTTGGCTGTCTCATCATCTTTTCGTAAACACAATATTCAAATGTGATTTGTAGTTAAAATGTATTCAGTTGATAAATTACTTTATTAATAAAAAAAAGATAATTTTGTTTTATTTTAGAAGAAACACACGTTGGAGGAGATGTCTGCATCAACATCCGTACGTTTTCCATTTTCCACATGGTCGCCTATCTATCCATATATGGTTTCAGCTAAGTCTACAAGATTTGCATGATGGTCTCTGTCCTTATCTACAAGAAATTATTTCAGCAAAGGTTTATTTCTGTGTATTAAGTGTTTTGAAGGCATTTTTATGGTTTACAGCTGAAGCCGCACATTCTTCATCTTTCGCAGTATTCACAGAATCCTTTTATCAAGCAGAATTGGCTCAGCCGATATCCAATCCTTACATATGAAAATATATTCTATAAGAAATCAGTTAGTTATCCCTTTTCAATGCTTATCCATTTGATTGTCGGCTTTTCAGAAAATCTTCGTACAAGCACCCGGTAGTGATGAGATATTCGAAAAGCGGTGTGTCATCTATGCAGAGAACTTCACTTTCCATGTAAGCATGGTACTCATCCAGTTCCTTCAACCTCTATTTGTTATAGGAATGTTTCACAAAGAGCACACTGGATGAAATGCGAGAACTGCGTAAGAGGGTTCGCATCAAAGGCCCGGTAGTGGTTCTGAAGAAATCATTTGAATGCTCAGTTGATAACCTGCAGGAACTATTTGAGGTTGTTCTTCTGTCACTCAGTAACATCGTTACAATTCCATTCCAGATTGTTGAAGCCCAAGGCTTAACCTTATATGGGCCTCATAAGATGGGAGACATTTTATCTCTACCCGCTGTTTCGAAGGTGAGTTGAGCGGTAAGAAGAGGAGAGAGAGTGAGAGATGGATGGAAATAGGAGCGAGAAATGGAAAAACATGATAAAGCGAGAAAGAGAAATAGATAAGGAGAAAGAAGTAAGAGGTAAAGGTTTAGATAGAGAGAGAGACAGTGGGC